CCCATGCAACATGCACCTTTCGTGACATTGGTAGTTGCTGAACGTGCGTACTCGTCCTGAATAGATGCACGGGCTGAGTTGCGTGGTCCGCGCGGACGCCGAGCGCCCAGTACCCCCCCCCCCCATCCCCGGTCGGGGCTCGGGGGGCTCAGTAGCTGTTTGCATTCGCTTTTCTCCACTGTTTGAGAGCTCCGCTGCGTGTGCTGCGCCACGCATGTGCGTTCTATCTCTTTTCGTCAAGTCGTAGCCTCGTAACTCGCGACCACCAGCGCCACACGCATACACTCACGCACTCGGGCTCGGGTTTTTTGCCAAATTCAATTCACCCCCCGCGCGACTCAAAGGCTCGTTCGAGCCCCGAGCTGCGAGCCAACAAAATCCAGCCGCAGCTCACGACCTACTGTGATCCGCTATGTCACGCTACTGTCACTTGCACATAGTCTCTCTGATGTTACATACAGCACCTTAGAGATACTAAACTCTGCTTCATTCATGCTCCTCACAAATAATAGGAAGTTCTCCCAAAGAAACCTGAAAACCGTTTTATTGCTTATTCCGAAAAGCTCTGCTCAAAGCGCATCTAGCGGACCCACTTCCCCTCAATTTCAGCTTCTTCCTACCCTTAAAATATAGCTTACAAGGAATAACCGAAGATAGATCCTCTCTAAGTAGGCAGGCCCGTCTTATGAATGAGTGCGCCTGTAGATAGAACACTTGATACGCTCTTTCTGCTTCTTCTTGAATATATGATGGACTTAGCTATTATAGGACTCTTTTTGAAAAAAAAGCGATTTTTATGCTAAATTTCGAGATAATTTACACTAATCATAGCGCTACTTTTTCACATTTCAAGACCTCTTCTAGGCAGACACTCGTTTTATTTTTTGACACAGTCAGATCTCAGTAAAATAGACCACTGAAACTAAGGATCATGTCACATTTTCTGCCAACATGATAATGCATGGTTTCAAATAAAACTATTAAGTTGCAATGTAACCCTGTCAAAATTGTCTACTTCTATTCCTCTCAGCATAACCTAATGTCAAATCGAAAGCTCGAACCGTTCCTTGATCAATATTCCTAGAACCATCGTTCTTCACACTTCATTACAATGCCATAAGCGGAGCGGTTTCGAGAGTTTTTCCACGACACTGTGAAAAGCGCGTCTGCAGTTGGTTGCGCGCAACGAGCGGGGTGCTCGACGTTTTGAAAATTCACCCTTTGTTCATGAAGAGCGAAGTGGGTGGCCCGCGTGATGTGCGTGTGTGGGCTCATGAATGCTCTCAACGCACACGAACTGTCCGGCATCAAAGCCCTTATTCGGTTTGGGTGGTTCTTGATGGTCCAGCTGGGAAAGTCTAACTGCTTCTGCATGCCTCATCAGCTTTGTGACTCATTTCGCCCTATTGCACCTGTTGACTTTCGCACTTTACAAAAACTACAGTATGTCCTGCGCAGGGTGTGGCAGTAGCTGCTGACGAGTGCTTGAAGATCCGCTAGTGCATGTTGCCCCTCTCATGCCGGTGGGTGTGGTGATCTCGACTGACCAAATAGGCGCCGCCGTCAGCGCCAAAGCATAGAGCTCTCCCTCTCTCCGCTTCTCAGCTCCGATTACGGTAGCCAAGCGGTGCCTTGACACGCTATTTGTGCTATCGGCTGCCACTCCTTGCTGTCTGTCCGTGTGTGTGTGTGCGTATGTATACTTGACTCTCGGCTTGACCTCACCCGACGACATCTCAAACACTCAGTCATACAAGCTCTGAGCATCCGAGCTCACAAAGGACTCTACTACTTCGGCTCTCAGTGCATGCCGCCCAGCTCCGGCTGCTTCGCCCCCAGCTCCACACAGCCCTCACCTGCTGCTTGTGTTCTTTGTTCTTTTGCGGAAGTCATTGTCAGATGCACTAGACAGCCGACGTCGGCGTCACCAGAATGCGTTGCTGAGTCATCGTGCACGTTGCAGCATGGCAACCAACGTCATGCTTGACTTCTTCATAGTTCTCAATAAAAGTTATTCAGGCGTTTTTCTGCAAATTTTTTTCCAAAGTGACAATCTGCAAAAATTCCAACAGTATTTCTGTTCATAATTTTGCTGTATTCCTCACTTCTCACACACTCTTTTATGTCTTTTCCATCTCTCCTCTTTGATTCCTTACCTCTCAATATCTGACCCAATTTTGTAGCTCGTCACTCATTTTTCGTTATCTTCATCAGGCCCAATACAAAATTGTTGAAAAATTGTGACGTTCTACCATCCATTTGCTACCCACAGTCATATTTGGTACTTGAAACTACATGTTTCAGCAGTTTCGAGCTAATCCAGAAGTTTATTCAAGCATCAACGCTCAGATTAATCCCATTTAAGACATGCTTACACTCATGGCAGAAGCTTTTAAGGGCAGCACATGAGCAGATTTGTCGCTTTGCTGAATTATACAAGACTTTTTTTATCGGTCCAAGAAGATTTGAGCGTGAAGCAGCTTTGGAAAATTAAAATGCGGAGCTTCCGATTTTATGAAAGCCTCATTTATTTTCGATGAAAAGAACAATGGACGACTAGAAACATGCTTTTGCTGACTAATGGCCCATGGACCAAGCTGTGACTTGCAAGTTTTGAGCTACTGAGTCATCATGGAAGCTGTAAGGGTTTAGTGACTAAGCTTGCTTGCTTGTTGAATAATAAGAAAAAAAGTGGTAAGGTGTAATTTCTGAGAGTCTTGATGACACATTCCAGTTTCTAAGTGGGGTTAGGGGTGAAAGTTTTGGTATTTCCAATTTTACCCCATTATACCCACCCCACCTTGGGTCGTAGCAAGCTTTTGACTTTTTCTAGCTAGTGCACTAGAACAGTTGTAATTATTCTCAACACACCTCCGATTTTGTAAGTAGGTGCATAAGAAGAGATAGAAAAGCTATTGTTTCCTAAAAAATTGACCATAATGATCATTTTCCATCCACGCTTGCAGTCACAGCAGCTTCTCTCGCTCTGTGGCGAGCTGATCATAACAGTGCCCACTGAGTACTGTAATGCCTGATGGACGAGTCGCCGCGCTCATGCACGGCAATCTAATGCTCAGATCAAAAACACATTATCCTGAGTGAAGAGCGAGAGCAAGAGCGGCTTCGAATCGTGTCGCTGATCGTGATTCATTCCTCATCGTCGTCGTCGACGTCGTGCCAACGAAACGCGCAACTCTCGACTGCCTCCCTCATGCACATCATGCCGTTACTCATACCTAATTCTCTTCATTCCTCGCGCATCCAGAATGACAAAATTTCACCATGAAGTCAATTTCATTCATCGACCCTTTCTCCTTTCGAATGGAGGTCACTTAGCCAAATTCTATGATTTTCCCCGTCTATGCACCCCTCTAGAAGCAAAGATTCTTGGCAAGCAGCCCCACAGTTTAACATGGTAACATTCGATGTGTTATGTGTGACTATTAGGCCAGCTGTTGACCTGTGACTCGTAAACAACTTTCCTCTCACATTGCTACGTGTGCTAGGTATTTGCACTTCGAACATCGTGAGAAACACCAAAAAAGAGAGGGCAACCGTCACCAAATCTTCAGACCAAAATTTTCGGTAGTTTTTGGAGGTGATGGAAAGAGCATTCAGTTAGTGTGAACAAAATTTACAAGGGATTTTCACCTTTATTCTCTAACTCATCCATATAAATTTACTGGTTTCTAACAATTTAAACTTTTTCAACAATTTCTTATATACCCCTTTCTTCCAAAATAAATTGATTTCTAAGTATAATAAGATAAGTTTTGCTGAACTTTCTTTCTAACCGAGAAAGAAGGCCCGCGTAAATGCCTTTAATACATCCCGGAGCAAGAACGAAACGTGTTTTTGCATTATTTACCAATTAAAAACTTTTGTGTTACTCCTTACTATGCAAATCGACGTTTCTCATCAAGAAAGAGCATAAGCAATAAACTTTTGAGAAGTACATAAACATTTGATTCTAATCAGCAATGGAAGACTCGAGTGACTTTTCAGTCGTTTAAAAAGAACTTAGCTGAGAACACAAAGCAATGGATCTAGATATATAATATCTGTAAGGGTCTCCAACAAAAAACTTTGCTTTATTTGCGCATCTCAATTTGAATTTAAGGTTAAAATCTGTAGACCCATAACGTTCATGTATTCTCTGCACTAGCCCTCCCATTAAGAGTATCAGACTTAGATTGTATGCAGATCTCATCAAATATACTCTTCTACATCTACTTCTTCTTTCTTCTGCATCCCTGCCCAGTTTCTTCTACGAAAATTAATTTTCTCTGCATTTCCGAAAATCCAAACAATTCTCTCGTGCATGTCATTCATGAAACGCTGAACATTAGTTATTGTTAATAGATGAACGGCCGCTGATTCAGCGTTATTACATGCCTGTCAAGAATATTTTAAGCGATGCTGCCTATAGTTATCGTTGTTGTGTCTCATTACCTCGTCGAATTCCAATCAATCGATTATTGATTTATCAAATGAATTTGTTATAGATGTCCAGTGACTGCTGTTATCTCTGCACAGAATGTCCAAACTCTTATGCAACATTTGACGAGCTGGAACTACACATGCACGATCATAAAAAAATCCATTTGATGGCACAAACAAGTGTTGAGGTGAATGCAGTTTTTGAAATCAATGCCAAATTTGGTAAGGAGTGGGTAGATCTTCAAAACTGATAGGCTGCGCAGATGAAAGTGCATCCACAGATATAGAATATACTGAATGTCCTGGTCACGCGTAAGTCTTTTCCACAATGAGACTGTAGTTCTGTAATTACAGCACTTGCGCAGCTTCCTTAATGTTCTGAGCACATCGCCAACACCATTTTTATTGTCTTTGTCCGCTGAGTGATGAGAAACTCAGCTGTTCGCCGATGGCACGATGGCACATTACGGCTTCTGCTGCTGTTGCTGTTTGAATGCGACACATCTATGCGACAGAAATGCTTGTTAAAACGACAAACACGCGTAGATACAAACTACAGTATGCTGAACCTTCGCTCATTGCAGGACCACGAGTTATCAGAAGTGGATCGACATTCACCCAGTAGTTCTGACTTGACCGATGGTATGCTGTCGCATGAAGTCGATGAGGATCAGATGGATCAGTCAGTGATGGAGGATACCTTGCTTGATCAGTCCCTGGACTCAATTGAGGATCTCAAACCCGGATATCAGTGCAGGTTCTGCCCGACACGCTTCGATGAACGACAGCAGGTTTGCGCTGCCATCATTTTGATTGAGACAACTACCGTATTCCTACAATAATCTCTTGCTTTCAGCTGAATGTGCACTATACTACATGCCATAGAGACAAACCGCAATACGAATGCGATGTTTGTCATACTATCTTTGCCGTGAAAAGAGAATTATCAACACATATGAGAACACACAGTGGCGAGCAACCGCATACGGTAAGTCTGCAGATACACATTTTGCCATCGACCACCTTTAGTAAATGACCCTATCTTAGTGTACCCAATGCGGCAAAGAATTTGGAACACGACAATTGTTAAAAAAGCATTGGATGTGGCATACTGGCGAACGTTCTCACGTTTGCAAACACTGTAACAAGGCTTTCTTCCAGGTATTTTCAACTTAATAAATTGAAAATTACGTTTCCATAGCAAAAACACTGGCAAAACATCCGAATTACAGAAAGGGCACCTAACTCAACATCTTATGATCCACTCTGGAGGTCGACCACATCAGTGTAATTTATGTCAAAAGACTTTCATATTCAAGGTAAGAAAATCTTTAATTATTACCGTAAAGACGTAGGGAGTGGTTAAAACACTCCTTTCGTTTTAAAACTAAGCGCTATGAAATCCATTCTTCAATTCCTGTGTAGAAACTAATTAGAAGAGTCCCCAAGCTGTTTAATTGACAGCTGATAAGATCCAATCGTCGAAGAGAATTTTAGATTTGAACTGCTGCCCAGTACCGTGATCCCTCTGAACAGGCCAATAAGCGTCCTCGACAAGCAAGTTCAGACTCGAATAAGCTGTCACTTAGGCAATCTCTCAGTCAAAAGATAGGAAGTCCAGATATCCAGATCTACCGCTGTATCTATCTCCTGACCTCAAATCGGGTGTTACTTTTCTGTTATACGCGAGCGCCCATTACCCTATCAGGAGCTTGTTTATAACGTTGAAACAGCGCCCAAATAGCGGGAATCGGTGAATACCGTCTCTAAACGCTGCCCCAAAGTGAGCCATAGTGGCGCATTTTCAACGAGAGTCGCAATACTTCTGGATATTTTATCCAACAAAAGTTGTGAATCCACTCATGACCATTTCAGTTCGATCTAAATCGACACATGAAGATTCACGCCGAGCGTGGTTACTCGTGCAGACAGTGTGGACGATCATTCACTCGACAACAATCGCTAGACGAACACGCACTCAAGTGCAAAGCGAAGAGGTACGTCGAGCGTGTGTTCTGGCGACAAGCACGCACTGCTGCGATTTTTGCAGCTTTTGTTCGTGGTTGCGGCTATCGTTTACAAGCCTGTGCTCAGCAATTTTTTGAGCCATCGAACACAACTGGCACATGACGCGGTTGGCAGTTTTTTGTGCGATTGCGCGTAAAAAATCAAAAGGATTTATAGTCGCCGTCAACGTAAAGGGCATCTTTCGCATGGCGCGCTGCATTGCCGTTATGTATACTCTCACTAAACTAATCTGTGGTATGCGAGGAAAAAAATTTTGCAGCCGGCTGTGATTTCTTTTCCAGATCCCATGTACTTAGGGATTGCAGTCTCGCATGAAATTTTGGCAACAACAAGGAAATTTGCACTAAAGCAAACATTGAGACCCAGTCATCTTACTATACAACAATTCTTTTACATAGAGACTCCCCGTTTACATATAAGTACCGTAAGATTACTGTAGCAAAAACTTAGACCACTTACAAGAATACATGAATTTATGTAGGACCTCCACGCAAGCTATATGTCCTTTCAGCTCTGGTGTAGTCACTCCACCGATGAAAATCGAGCAGCCATCACCTGTCTTCCCGCTCATCTCTCAACCGCTACTCAACTTCAACCAAGAAAACGTAGCTAAGGTAATGAACGACCTTTTCCTCTCCCTCCGTTTTCCTCAAAACGCCGATCTCTTCCAGATGGCTCAATCACTCATTGCTCAGCAGCAGCAGAGAGCTCTAGCGCTTCTGCTAGCCCGGCAGCAGACCAGCCAGCTCCCTGTGCAGCCGGCTGCCGCACCGCCGCCGCCACCCACTCCTTCCATTCTGCCTTCGTTGTTCTGTGCACTATGTAGCAAAGCATTTCCGAACCAGCCAGCTTTTGCTGTGCATATGTACATGTGCCATATACAGGGAAATAATGTGCCGATGATTGGCGAAGAGGTGTGGTAGAATTAATTCTGATGAAATTCTCTTTGATCTCAAAGAATCTGCTCTTCCAGACGAAAATGCCAGTCCTGGCGCCGGTGAATCCAATCAAGACTGAGTCGGAAGACACCCACATCAATGTCCTCACCTCAACTGCAACAAACTCGTCTTGTTCTTCAAGGTTAGCTGTCAAATTAGTTCATTACTCTTCAGTAACACCTCGCACCAAGCTGGAGTACAGCTGCTTATTATTGAACAATTTCTTTGGTACTCCGCAAAAAGTTACCCTGATTGATAAGCGATACGTAGAGCTGGCAGTCAGCCAAATTCTCAAGACAACCACTCATTGCACCTACTTCCAGCCCCCAGGAAACGACGTCCACAGCTTTCACGGCTACATCACCGAGCACAACCGAAGAAGTCGGCTCGTCCCCATTGAATGAACCGCTTCATTCGCCACCGAGTGCACAAAAGGAGATCCAAGCAAAATGCTGCACTTCGTGCCGTCTCCACGCGGTACGGTCGAGTGAGCTCGAGGCGGCGCTGCTGGCCAAGAGGCACGAGCTAGAGAAATTCAAGGAGATGATGCGAGCGGTAAGATTTTTCGAAGGCAAAGAATCGATGACTAAACATGCTTACAACTTGCCGCTTTTTTACTGAATTAATTCTCTAGTTCTCATATAAATTTGAAAAGGCGAAAATTAGTAGCAGGTTTTTTAAATTTTTTTCTAGTATAGACAGTAGCATCTATGGGCTAATCCCTGACGGCAATTCGTGCAATTTGCGAGGCCGTTACGAACGCAGCGGTCGGTCACCTTTCATTATTGAAGCCACATCAATGCCTGCGTGCATCTACTTCGCAGCCGCCTTCGTCTTGGGACTAGCCTTTACTTTTTTTTTACAATGATCTAATCACTGTGCTAACTTCTCTTGGAAGACATTCTTCTAAACTAGCAATAATAAATTTTGAATTGGAGCCGAAACTAGGACTATGCAAATTGCATTTTTACGTACTTTGGAAAGAGATGTAAAAAGCTGATAAAGGGTATATTGTTTAGCAGGAGATCTTCTTTTTTCTTCTTCTTTATTCTCCAAAGTCGACCGTGGGAGAAAATAGAAAAGCAACATCTGAATGTTAGTTCTACATACAAACATAACTAGTTTGATTATTTAGGGTACAAAATTTCCGTGAAACTGTTATCTAGTTAAATGAGAAAAAAACGCGGTTTGGTTTAGCTCACATTTGAAGGTGCTTGAAAATGATCGTTTATAAGTTGACACTGGCATGTGACTTCATACCACGACGCTGCGGGACTCATGTTAATTACCGTAACCTCCTCAAAGAACCAGAAGAAGAAAGCAAATTTCGCTTCGATAATTCGTTCGCGAACGTTCCCTCATGGGATGCTCTATGAAGTCCGATATTCGAATAAGTTAGATCGAATTTATCATTTCAGGTGGTCACCACAACCGGTCAACTGCTTAACCAATGCTCACCGGACAACGTTTTCATTGCTCACACCAAGAACATCTTTGCCCAACTGCAGAACAGCATTTGCTCGTCGGAATAAATCAAATCAACAATGATATCGTCCACATCTAGACATACTATTAGTCAACATCAACATTATGTGCCTGATCTTTTGATATCAAAACTCTCTAAACGAGTCTCATTATTGCCTGGTATATTTAATAATATTCAATGATAATAATTATAGTTCATCCAAAGATATCAGTCTGAGAATACAAGTATAATATTCTAATTCGTCATTTTGCGTAGGGGTAGAATAGATTATAGCTTCGACACTTTACAGTGTCAATCGCAGTGTCTCTTTTTCCTGGCACATCTGCCACGCGAGGCTCTCGCGCATGCTTAGTCGCACTCAAGTGGGACACTGCAATTGAGACAAACTATATGCCTACTTAAAATGCACATAAATATTTTAACTCATTCGAGTTGGTGCTTGAAGTCCATTCACTGCAGCTCCTTAGTGCTTTTCGAGTATATGTACATCATCAGGCAGCCTGCCAAGTATTTTCATCTCGCTTTCGCCTTGTTAAGTAAAAGTACCATGTACTACATATAGCTTTATTGATTTATTGATTGTTCACAATGTGCCTTGTGTGTACAGAAAGTGTGCTTGAACAAATGTGCCTTAGCTGTTCCAAGTTCGCTCTTAATTTCTGATAATTATGTTATCTTATCTCTTTTTGTTCTCTTATGGACGTCTAAAACGTCCGGTCGCTGCAATGCGCTTCTTGTTGCCTGAATGTGTTTTCTGGTCATGGGCCACGCGCCAATTTATCTTTTTCCTTTTCTTGCAGATTGTTTTTCCATTTTTTTTCGTTTCTTCACTACTTGTTATGTTTTATGAAGCGTGTTTATACGGATGTCTCATGATGGAGTATTATATTATAATTGCTGAATAATAATATTATTATTTATAAATCTGTACCCAACAAAATCTGGAAAAGTTCTCATTTTCTTTTAAATGACTGTTCGAAACGAGACATTCTATTTGTCTTTCTAATTTCCTAAAGCTAAATATTAATGGCGGTCAGCTGCCAGATAACTCAAAATAGGCCAGTAAATCAAACTTATCTGCTTTAGATCTAAGACTTTTTGTAAAACAGTTTATGGAACCTACAGAAATTGAAAGCTTACAGCTCCAAGCAAAAAATGCAAAAATGGCATTAATGGTCTTTTTTGCAAAAAATGTGATTAAGTGATTTCTTTGTTGTACGATAAAGTATGTATGTTGAGTAAAAGTTTGCGCAGACACTCGAATCTCCAGTTTTAGCGAATTTTGCCTGCTCTAAATCTTTTTGTCTTTTAATAAAATGTTTATTTTGTTGTATCTCTTATTCTAGCGATATAGATCGCTTGGAGAGAATAATGGGAATTTTACGAACCAAATCCTAAATACCGACTGCTCGCGCACAACCTCTAGGCATTGGGCAGAGTTCACGCGATTTGATCGTCGCAAAATAAGTTTGAATACTGAATAAGTTTCACCATGTGAATGAGCAGACCAAGCTGACTAATGGTTCGAGTAATTTTTCAAGCTCAATATTTAATAACCTGAGGAAGAGAATTTTTGAAGCCGTCTTAATCATGCCCGCTTATTCAGAAACTTAATGCGCTTTTCTTCTCCACCCGATAGATTTATGCAACACCTTTGCCCAGATTTTGATCATTTCAAAGGGATAAAACAGTATCATATCTGAATCTCCTTGCACCGAATGGATGGCAGCGGTACCTACGGAGACTGTAAACACTTCCTTCAAGCAAAGACTACACCATTTAGAACTCCAGAGATTAACACATGTTTTGTAGTCCTACAATCAAAACGGCATTTTCATTCACCGAACTATTCAAGATAGCCACAAAAGCCCCATTATCCCATGTCCGAACTTCAAAAAAAAAACGTCATTTTCCTGAGAACAATTCCTTCATTTTCTTTGATCAAAAAATTACAGAGCACATGTAAGTAGATCCTTCCATACCGGCTCTGCACTTAGTCAGATGATTCAAAAACAGCTTAAAGACTTGACTTGAAAAAATCTTTCCTGTATTCATGTGCATGCCCTATATTGCGATAGCACTTGTGATTTCCAGAGTGCTAATCGCAATGATCATGCCAAAACATGAAAGTTTCATAAGCGTAAAGGGGAAGTTACGATCGTCGCGCAGACTAACCGAAGTTACAGAAAACAATTTCTCCAAAACTAAAAAAAAATACCAAACAGCAAAATTTGGTCCCAGAATAAAAACATTACAATAATTTTTCGCTAGAAAAACAACCACCAACTTTTTTTGCTTTTGAAAATCATTCATGGAGCACACCCCAGCTGTGTCTTCCATACTTTAGCAATTTCCTATTTGGTTGTACTGTTCTGAGAGAAAAGCTGCTCCAGGGCTTGACTTTCCATACCCTTCATATACATGCCCGCTGTTACATTGAAAGTGCTTCCGATTTCCAAAAAAGCAGATAAGCACAGTTTTGAGGCTATAGTTCCCATATGGGGAGCCGGGTATGATTCTTGTTAACAATGGTTCCCAGCAAATTTTTTCCAAAACACCACCATGTGTTCTGCAGCGAGTAGGCCACATCTGCGTGGAGTTCGGTTCATGCGTCGACGGCATGTGCTCGACACGACCTGCGACCCGCTCACTGCTTCTGACGAACGACATGTGTTGCACGCGGGTGGTCATGGTGCGAGTTCGTGGGCCACACACACGTGTGCCGTCCGTGGCTGTGCAGACGCACTGGGTCATCTCGGCTGTTACAGCGGAGTTAGCCTGTGCCTGGGCACAAATCTCCAACGATAACCCGGACCAAGTACATAGCTAGGACTATACGAGCGGCTATTACTGGCCAAAGAACAGATTTTGGGGGGCGACAAAAATAATCATAGACACCTTCCTATGAAAGATCTTTATCAGAGGCACAACGTATACAAATAATTGAAACCTGTCAATTTCGTTCTAATAAAACAAACCAAGTACCAAATATATAAAACATAAAAGGCGATAAAATTCCTGGTGAGGTAAGTAAGTGAGATGATAGCGGTGAGCTTACGGGGGCATTCGCAGTGCTCCATCGAGGCGAATCACCTCGCCGTTGAGATAACGATTTTGGATGATGTGTTGCACAAGTGCACCGTACTCTTCTGGGCTTCCCATCCGAGATGGATTAGGAATAAGTTGAGACAAGAAAGTTTTCACCTAAATCGACAACCTTAGTTAAAATTTAGTAGCTTTGATACTATACCTTTTCTGGAAGCGCTGCTAAAAGTGGAGTGTTGAACAGTCCTGGCGCTATTGTCATGAAACGAATTCCATCATCAGCAAAATCTCTCGCTAAGGGTAAAGTCATTCCTACGATGGCTCCTTTGGATGCAGAATATGCGGACTGAAATTGATGCTAATTGTCAGTGTGGCAATCATTATTCGATCTTGTATGTACAAATATGATTCATTTGCAATAAAATTCACTGGAAATTCGGAATAAACTGTATGGTTACTATATTGAAAAAAAAAACTAGTATGTTATCAGAGGCTTACTTGTCCGGTTTGTCCATCAAAAGCAGCAACAGACGCGGTACTGACAACTACACCTCGTTGTCCAGCATCATCTTTCTCATTCTCACCCATAAGCGCAACACCATGTCGGATTACATTGAAGGTCCCCATCACGTTCACCTTCAAACTTCAATTGAAAACTGCTTTCGTATCAAATGATGATGATTTCGTATCAAATGATGGAACTCCCACATCAATTGTCTTTTGGATCTTATCCAAATCTGACATCTTTTTCTTGCTAACACTGTACAGCTTGAATGCAAACGCGATTCCAGCACAGTTCACTACCGCATCGCAGCGTCCAAACTTGTCCTTGACAGCGTCAAAAGCCGCCTTTACTTCAGTGTCAGAGGTAACCTGAAAAAAAAATGCGGTTTATTTTGAATCATATGAGAATCAAGAAAGGCTAACATTGGTAGGAGCGAAGATGACATTTGATCCAAGTTCTTTGGCCACATCCGCGCCTTTCGATGATGGCAGGTCGAGAATAGCGACGTTAGCGCCTGCTTTGGCAAGCGTTTGAACGGTGCCACGTCCAAGACCAGAGGCTCCACCAGTCACCACCGCTACCAAACCCTACATGACAAAGCAATAAATTTTCAGAAAATGTAAGATGCTAGAGATTAGTATGTTGAGCTGAAGGAAGACAAACCTTCGTGGACCGCAACACCGATGCCATAGCTCTACCTAAATTATAAAATTCAGGGCCAACAACTACTGCCGATAACAAATGCGCGTGAACGTGTCATGGTGTTCGATAGTCAACTGTGCCATCCACGTCCATTTCTTACGCACAAATGTTGGCTTCATAAAAAAAAATTTGCTACCTAATCCGTGAAAGTATTGTCTGCACCGCGAAGGCACTAATCGACTATACAAAACTAGAGTATGTTCGCCACTTTTATACCTTACGCCATCATGTTTTGACCCGCAGTAGGAAGGGAGGAGGGGAGAGGAGAGGGGGACCAGCGGTAAGCAAAGCAACAAGAAAGCCACTCAATTTATATCTCAGCAAAATTAACTCTAATACGGGTCATCTGTTTCTAACGACGTAATGCGAGTAATACAACATATTCTCCCCGTCAACGAAGATACATACTTATTTCAACCTTTGTTTTATCTACAGCGCAACGCTGTGCTCATCGTTACTTCAAACGTGTGGTGCGGAATAGCGAAGATTTTTTCAGACTCTGCCTTCTGCCTGTTACCGGCAAGGCTAAAGCTTATTACTGCAAGTGCAGATTTCAACCGTCATACCCTCTGGCCCTGTATCACAAGGGGGCCAGGAACTCCTAAGCTGATTGAGTCATGCCCATGTATAAAAACGATTTGACAAAGACAGGAACACTCATAGACTGAATGGAAGAGGAAAGCTGGATTTCACTTGCCAACTACCAGTGAAGAAAAAGATCAAAGACTGATTTGCACTCGAGGGACGGCACTACACGGACTTTCCAAGAATGGGCGTTCAAAAAAGTACAATTCAATGACTGTATAGTGTAATGGACGCCTGACAAGTAAGGTAAACTGCCTTTACCATGCACTACGTGTCACTCGCACAACGCACTAGCAATTCCAACTCAAACAAAAACCTTAAATTTTTAGAAAGCATATGATTTCTTACAGTGCACTTCATGATCCAAATCCCACTTACCCAATCTTATTTTCTCCTACATTGCCCATTTCCCTCAATGCTCCACGTAAAAATTTGAGATATTTGATTCCCATTCTAAAGAGCTGGAGAGAACCAAAGTAGGTGATTGACTTCACAAAGGAAAAAAAATCAGTAACACTGCAAACAGATGAAGCTTGGTGATTCCGATCCTTCTAGAAAGATAAAAGCACAAAACTCAGTGCAAACACTAAATAGACGCAAAAATATAAAAGAACGCCTTGCGGATAACGTCGACGTAAACAATGCCCCGATGTCGTTAGCTGATAACAGCAATCAATTACGATCCCCGAGCGCGGCAAGGGTCAACGACTGACCAACCTCTATGCGCAAAAAACAATGTCGAAACTAATCTCCTCCACCCGCGTTATCTACATACCACTTACATAAATATCGTGCCTCAACACAAGAAATCTCACAAAACTATTTACAAATTCTTTTTTTTTTGCACCACATGTTGTCACAAACAGACAAACATCACCTCACAGAATAATACAACGATGACTTGATAAATTAAAATGTACACAAAGCAAACAATACTTATCACTCATAAATTAAATCAGTAACGCCAGAGATGCAGTTTTTAAGCGCTAAAATATTTGTTTGGAACATGGTAATGCCTACCCTAATTTTGCTCCAATTATTATTTACGCTACAGCAGATGTCAAGTGATCAAAAACATGAAACAGATGTACAGTTTAATATGCTCTCAAAACACCTGTGATGCATATGATGATTGGAGAAAAATGCTAATCCGAATCATCATCTGAAGACACATTCTTTTTCGCCGGTTTCGACTTTCTACGACTAGAAGTGGAAGATTGGCTGTCCTAAAGTAGAGAAATTTTCAAGAAGAACCGTATAGCAAAAAAAAATTCACTTCATCAATCTTTTCTCTTTTTGATGGCGTGTGTCGCGAATCGCTTTCGTCTACGGCGGCTTTCTGACTGCTGGGACCACTTGGACCCTCACTTCTTCCTTTCAAAAGTGCCATTGGATCACCACCCGTGATTTTCATCCAGACTGCTTCCAAAAGCATCGAATCGTTATATATATCGCTGCCCTCGATGTTGTACAACTAAATTCCCATGATCGCATTATACCACGACCGTAAAGATTATCATCTACAACAAACCCTCGCATTTTCACACAGTAATTTAACATCGTGTCCCATTTCTTCGATAGTAGAGTACCTGAAGTAGCAATATGCTGGACCAATTTATATACAAGAAAGAGTCGATATATGAGCGCGTATCACAAAATCAAAAAACTTACCGCCCCTTGTCTATCTTCTTCTTGATGCGTGCAAAGTCCATGGGATTGTGTACAACCTCATAGTAATCGGGAAGTTCACGCTTCGTCGGCAATTCTATGAATGGAACGGCAATTTCTCTTCCATCGTTAGTTTTGAAGCCGACCATGATGTCATACACCTATGATGCAGGAATTTACGACTTTTTACACAGAATTATATTATAGATTACCTTATTCATGACTTCGATCACCTCAGGACTGGCCTTCTTTCGTTTTTTTCCTTCATCATCTTCTTCGTCATCAGCTCTGCGTTTTCTCTTCTTCCTTTTAGCTTCTTGTTCCTCCTCTTCCTGCTTAAATCTTATTCAGCAAAGCACAATCTTGTGTAAATGCAAAAGACTAACCGCATCGTCGATCTGCTTCAACCACTGATCGTCAGACATGAGATCTGTCGAGTAGTCCACCTTGAAAGTAGCACTGAGTTATTACAAAAACTCCCCGGAGTTGTAAAGTCAGATCATATTCTCAAAAACTCAAGAGCAAATTTTTTTTCAAAGTTTACTTCTCTTCTGCGTCGCCTTCCCGTTGCTGAGAAATCCTCCTTTATAATCCCTTCTTTTTGAGCTCTTTCCATTTCAGCAAAGTCATCTGATGCTTTTAGTATATCGTAAGGGATTTCATTTTCTTCCAACAGGCGTGGTTTCCTGCAAGTTGGTTAAGCTTCACAAACTTGTTATACTATATCGAAAATAACCTGTGCAACTGTCCAGCCTCTTCCCTTCTGCGATCAATATCCATGGATTGGAACTGATTGAACTCTTCTTCGGATCTAGCAATCATTTGGTTGATAGTCTCATCATCAGGCACCTCATCGTCTTCGTCATCTTCCGATTCGGCTCTGTAGTGGAAAAAGTCAACTTCGACCACTTTCTGACGGATGCAGAAGAATTCTTACCTAATGATCTGTTCCAGCATCTGCCTTCTTTCCGCCCCTGTCGAACGTTGATCGAATTTACCTGCTTGGATTACTTTTTCGTCAACATTGAGTTTATACTTAGCAGCAGCTAATATGCGCTCTTCTACTGAGTTTGCAGTTATAAGCCGCAATACTCGCACTTCTCGTTTTTGTCCAATACGATGTGCACGATCTTGAGCTTGCATATCCTGGAAGATACGTCTTTTGATTACGTAAACGACTAGCCTAAATCGAACCTGATGAGGATTCCAGTCAGAATCGAAAATAATTACGGTGTCAGCTGTTTGCAAGTTTAGACCCAAACCACCAGCACGAGTGGACAACATGAACAGGAAATACTCGCTGTCAGGTGCATTGTACAGTTCAAGAAGCTGCCCTCGCTCATCTGGCTTCGTGCTTCCATCCAAACGCAGATATTTCCATTCTAAAAGCCAAGCGTCAGATACATAATCGGAATCGCAAATTAAGCTTACTTCTGTAGTTAAAGAAGTCCTCAATGATTGTCATCATAGTTGTCATCTGACAAAACATAAGCACACGATGACCTGAAGCTTTCAACTTGGGCAAAATGCGGTCCAGTAGCTCCAGTTTTCCAGCCACACGGTATAGGTCCTGTCTGAAAATCACCCTTCACCTTCATGTCTCAACAAGCCATCTCAATCTTACCCTGACACTTCATCCACCTTCCAGAATGCTCTACAAGAGTCTTCAACAGATTGGAAAAGGAAGGGATGATTGCACAACTTTCGTAGATGAACAACAGTATTCATCAGTGCGCGTCCACCAGATTGCTAAACAATAAATGTAGATTTTGCTTCTCCTTCATAAACTAACTTACCTGTTTGCTGTCGATGAGCAACCCCTTTTGCATATGTTTATACAATACTTTTTGAAGTGCTGACATATCACATTTGATTACATACTCAGTCTTATCTGGAAGCTGCGATTCTACCTAAAACGGACACAGAATGATTGACATAAACAGAAGACAAGCTGAAATTACCTCTTTCTTCAGCCTTCTCAACAAAAATGGGCGAAGGACCTTATGAAGACGTCGTATAATCAACATTGTTTCTTCCTGATTCAGTTCGACCTAAGCAAAAAGGAGCTCAATAATTTCATAAAAGATGCTGAAAAAAAAGAGGATCTATTAGAAAAGGCTTAATGGCTCTGAAGTTCAGTTGAAACAAAAACTATCGAACCTTCTCGCCTGTAGTAGCAAAAGGTGCGTTGAACCATTGCTCGAAGGTACCGCACGAACTGAAGATCGACGGTAATAAGAAGTTCAACAGGGCCCATAACTCCGGAAGCTGCAAGCAACAATTGATGATCGTAATACCGCACAAATCGCATACAATATACCTTGTTTTGGAGAGGGGTTCCTGTAAGTAACAGTCTATGTTGTGCATGGAAGTAACCATTCAACATCAGCGTCAGCTTGCAGTTGTGATTCTTTAAACGATGCCCTTCATCGATAATCATATACTTCCAACGAATCTGAATAAACTTCGGCATTTTCATACAATGTACTGTGATTCATACAATCCACCTTTCCTAGCAGACCCTTTTCCCGAATAACGTACTCGTAGGTCGTTAACAACACATTGAAGGCTCCCTTCCGGATCACGCCTTCTACCCGTCGCCTGGCTTCTTTGTTTCCTTTGTAGACTACCTAAAACAGCACAGTAAGGGGCAGAGCCATAATACTTGGAATGTTAGGATTACATTACTCTACCTTGACTACGGAAGAGGCCCATTTCTCAAACTCCATGTTCCAGTTGGAGAGCGTAGATAGTGGTACAATGACCAGATATGGACCATTGTTCTGCTTTACTTCCATGAGATATGTAATCAAGGAGATTGTCTGAAAGATAGGGTTCACACATATAGGACAATATTAGATAAATCTCTCGTATGAGAATGATGCAGAATATCTTGAACTCCAAAGACCTGGATAGTTTTTCCCAAACCCATTTCATCAGCTAGAATTCCATTCAAATTGTTGTTGTACAACGAAACCATCCACTCAAGTCCTTTCAGCTAGAAAAAAAACTGTGCATGATTTGTAGATTTCCGAGCAGAGATTTAACAGACCTGATAAGGTTTCAACTGTAACGTCTCGCTTCCCAAAGTTGAATGTTGCTGTACAATTTTCTCTTTAATCCTATGAGCTGTTGCATAGTAATCCGCCATTTGTTTGCGATTCTTTTGATCGTATTCATCCTCTTCATTTCTAGCCTGCAAGGAACCGTCTAAAACTTAACAAAGCTATTGATTTCCCTCTGATCACTTTTTCCAGGATGAGGCGGGCCTTCGTTTCCTCATCCATTCCAGCATATTCATCAACGTCCTTCTTCGGTTCTGGTGCTGCTTCCTCGATATCTGAGTCCGAATCTTCCGAAAGTTGATCCCGCGGGACGGCCTAAGTTGTTTTACAGTAGAACTGCATGACAAATACCGTAATTTTAAACTTATACCGCAGGTGCGGTCGTCTATGAAATATTTCCTTGAAATATATGTTTCAGAGATACAAGAGATACACAATTCGGTGTACCAATCAGTGTCAAAATTGCAATTTTTTTCGTACTATCTCGAACTTAATGATATGTATAATTCTCCATGTTCGACTTTCAACGAATTTTGGCATTACGGTATAAGAGTTGGCCGAAACGTCAGCCATAGTAAAAGTCATAACAGCCTTGTTGGAGGTAAACCAGTCACACCAAGATATCGTAATGATAGCGTTTTCGTCATGCCACATTTTGGGACATATAGAATTAAGGACTAAAGATGTTCGGTAGAGAAAGAGGTACTACACAAACAAAACCGTCAAAGTAATTCCAAAAAATGCGACGACTGCACCTGAGATGACCGACTCTGCATGCAGAGTGAACAAGTATAGCTGAGAACTGAGTAAATAAGGGCGAATCTTGTTGTATTTACACCGTATTCCTCTGTGATGAACTCACTTATCAACCATGCACTTACATGGTACAGGTACTCAAGGCACATGCAGAAGAAATGGGCCAAGTGCTGATTCGCATTCATACAAAAAGACACTTTTGGTGTTTAGAGAAGCGGGTGTAGGAGAAGAGGAATGAATACGGCATACATGCATCGCCCTTCCTTAACCATCTCTTTGTTTTAACAACGCCACAGACATAAAACGCCGCACACCTCGGAACACACCTCAAATCCGGGATGTGTCTCTAACCATAATTCGAGCTCGTCGGGTTTCGGAGCGTCATCGCCCGTTAGAATTTTGCCAGTGCTAGTCTCACGGACATGCACACGAGCTTCTCCTTCTGGAAAACAAGATCTCTCAACCACATCTGAAAATAATCAGTTCGAACTACTTAATCAAGTTCACTACTATGACAACAGGTAGTGACAGCATAAGGACAGATAATAGACATACCTTCCATCTTCTCCAACTTCCGCTCCTCCCTCTTTCTCTTTTTCTCTACATTCTGATGCTGACGTACGAGGCTGCACAAACTTTCAACATATTCATCAGTCTGTTGCAGGAGATACACCAGACGTTGATCCTACAATATATATTCATAAGATAGGTGTTGAGTTTTCAGTCGTAAAAAGGATATGACAAAAATGTTAAAAACTGGATAGAAGACAAGAAATTCAATGTTTTCGTATGTTTTTTTTACATGCTTTTGTTTCATGTTCGCAAACTTGCAAAATGCTGACAGCATACCTTCTTCTCATCCAGCAATGCGCGATAACCCTCTTCGTCCTCTTGCATAAGCTTCTGCATACGAAGCCGTTCATTTTTGATTTCATCCTTCTTCCTTTCCCTTTCGTTGTTTTGGTGATAAGTGATAACGGCCTTCTTTACTTTTTGAGTCTTGAGAAGGTTATTTCTAAACTGGTGGTCTAATTCGTAAAGTTGCACGAATGAAACGAAGCAATTACCTGTGATATTCTTTGAATTCTCGTCCATGTTGAATGATTGCCTGCATGAGATCTGTGTGCTTTTGGCGGCGTTTCCTTTCTTGCTCCATTTTCTGCTGTTTCTCAAGCTTTTCAGTCACTCGCGCTTCTCGAAGTGATTGTCTCTTCGTGCGTCGATAAGCGTAAGGATTCAGCGCTGTCTCCAAGGTTGTATCTCTTCGCAAAGCACTCATGATTTCACTACGGACCTGAAATACCATAAGGAACTGTGTTGACAAACGCCTTCATATGGAGTCTGAAGAATATGTTGCTCTTACTATCCAAGGACGACACCGAAAAAAAAAACCCTCCAAGGGCAACGTTGACTTGGCAAAGCAGCTTGATTCTACGCGAATAAAAAACTCAAACCTGAAGATCTTCAACTAGCCCAAAATCGGAGCTTATCAAACGTTAGAGACAACTATTAAGACCGTTTGGTTGGTCAAGATTTAGCAGACGTACGTATTCATGTGCACATGATGTGATTCCTTCTTGCAGAAGGCATGAGCAGTGTCTACTGTATACTGAGACATAAGATGGCCAAAGTGTTCATGAAAGGTGCTTTAAAAATCTGGCACAATTTACTGTCGCACACCGAGGTTAATTTTGAGGTCAAAGCACAAAACTAGCTAAATCAATGTTCCGAAGTTTCTGGCTGATCTAGTAATAAATTCAAAATATCGACCTAGCACAATAAAAATATTATAAACTGAGATGGAATCAAAGGCACTGTCCACCCAAAATGGAGGTTGGCGAGATTATGATGGCATACTAGTGTGGGCCCCCACACTAGGCAAACCCCAAAGCTTCGCCGCAAAAGACTGCTTCTGGAGCGAGAAATCCGCTCCAGAAGTAGCAAAGTAGGCAGGGCGACCATGGTCGCCCCGCCCACTTGCATGCTTTATCTCGCCTGCGCTTGTTGCAGAGGTTCTCGAAACAGGGTTTTTTGAGGGTTTCGCGAATTTTCGACTCCATGTTCGGAAACAGGGCTTTCAGAAGGCCTGAAGGCGACAAAAACATTGAATGCGAGATTTTGGGTGAACGGTGCCTTTCAGCACCCAATTACTTACCAGACCAACATATTCTTAACAGCCATCGAACAGAAAACCAATCCCCAGCACACCAACAAGAATGCAAACAAAATTTTATGGAAGAGTAAGGTACCTGTGCTTGAAGATTAACCAGTCTCAAGGCGCGTAGTTCGATCTCTGCTTTGATCCTCAAGTTTGGTGGAAGGTCAGCCGGAAGACTACTCAGTTCTTTGATTCGTAAACCGACGCGATTTTGTATCCTTAGAATCTCGAACTTCTTCAATGTGACTGCAAAATAAACCCCTCACCTGTACTCCCTCTCCTTTAACAAAGACGCCGGATCGATGCCTACAGGGGTGGGCAGCGACGTCGGTCGAGCACAACGTTGCTGATGTATATTTAGAACCTAGAGAAAACCGAGATTTATGCAAGGACTTGAAAAAACTTATGTACCTTCATGAGATCATAAGGCAATTTCTCGCCATTTTCCGCTTCACCAGGGAATTCGTAAGGCTCAGGCAAAAGCGATGTTGGCTTGTTTTTCATCACAACTGCTTCAGCCGCCAGCGCAGGTGGAACGGGCTCGTTCCTTGCCAAAAGTTTGTACACGCTAACCTATAGACTCAAAATGTGATAGGAGAACATAAACAATGAAAGCAAACAACCAACCTGAGCTCGTAATTGGTTCAGCTGCGCAGAAGTAATCTGCGGCTGCTGCTGACTAACAGACGGAGAAGGCTGTTGCGCTGGTTCGGCCGGTGGAGGTGCTCCTGAAATTTATTGCGTCAGATAGCCAAGATAACCCTTTTTTCTAGTCTTTTACCTGTCAACTTAGATTTCAACTGCAGCATTTTTTGATATCGAGGATCGGATGTGAGTTGCTGTTCTTCCATCGTGGCGACGGAGTTCTCTAGCTTGGCTATTGTCAATTCTTGTCCCTTAAGATAGCACAAAAGCTAGCAACAAGCATGATTAGGAAAAATTAGAATGTGATACATACATATGTATGTACAATGACGAAGAGGACAACTTTGTAGAAAAGTTGCGCAACAACTCTGTGAAAAGCAACAGCATAATTGCAGAAGTGCAAAGCTAGTGCATAATCGCAGAAAAATGAAATACCCTAGATTTAAACAAGCAAGGTGAAGCACTATGCGTTTAAAGCACATACAGGTACATAGGTTCAACGAATCTTTCTCGATTTCTGTGCGAACACAAACAAGAAAAATGCTAGCACGATTTTTTTTAGTTATTGGGTACCTCCTTGCTATAACTGACAACCAATAAACACCATTCCGCAAGGTCAGACGAGCTCTATCGCAAATGTCTAACAAGGTACGGATACTCGGTGACCGTGGCCGTTAGGAATGAGATGTATACCGTAAGATGCATCTCAAAATGCTGATCTGAATTTGTGCTCGATATCTGCGAAACGATCGTCTGAAGGAAGTTATGAACTTTTTTAGTAGGAAATAAGCATACTTTTGAAAAGTAAAAATCACCAAATTCGTTTTAGGTTACCGTTTGAAGCTATTGAAGGGAATCTTCAGAGAAATACTCTTGTATTATACCCATCTAAATCATATTCAGCGTTTGAGAAAAAAAGAAAATTATTTGTTGATGATTTTGATTCTCCGCAGTAGCACAGTTTATTCATGAAAAAATGATTATAACTCCATTCAGATTATCGTTTCGCAGATATGGAAGACAGCATTCGAACCAGCATTGAAAGGCGCATCTTTTGATATATAAACCATTAAGAATGGCCACTGCCAACAAGTATCCTTTCCTTGTAAGCAGTCGCCTTCCGAAACGAAGAAGTCATATAAGTAAAGTTTTCTTATGCTTTGAAAAAGATATTACTTTCAAACACATTCTGAATGTGAACCCCATCGCGAAGCCCCATATGCTGACCAAAAAGGATACAGATGATGTAAATCTGAACGCCACTAACATTCAATGAAGACAATTATACTAATACTGGTGTTAGTTTTTTCGTAAGCAGTAGGGCTCCAGCCAAACAACGTCCAAAAGTGCCCAAAGGCTCCCAAAAGCGCTCAAAAGCGCCAAAATTCCTCTAGTTCTCTCATCTCTCCTCACAAAAAAAGTGAAAAGACATTAGAAAAATTCAGGCGCTTTTAAGCACTTTTGAGCGCTTTTGAGCGAAGTCTGGCCGGCCCTAACAAATGCCATTCTCCGTGTAGTTAGCGTGACCGCGGAAAAAGAGACCCTACCATGCCAGCATATCATTTTGTGATTAATTTGAGCATAAGTTTTAGCGAGGTATAAAACTTTGCACTTTTGGGCTGTCTAACAAGGGAAGGATGGTTGGTCGAAGTGGACTCTTGAGATGAGTTGTATACCGTGTTGGAGGGCTGATTCTAAATCTGCCTTCAATATATGCGGCGCGTTCCTGCAAGAGAAGTTATGAGCGTTTATTGGGGAATAAATTGAATGTGCAAATAATAAAAAAAACAGCAACTACGTTTTCCCTAGCTCTCAAATGAAACAATGGTAATCTTTCCAGCACTCTATAAAATAAATACTCTTGGATGAGATATATCCGCACTCCGGCTGTCTCGTTCAAGCGCTGGGAAAATTTTTGCAATTGTTTTTATCCCAGAAAAACACTCATTTTTTGCTCCGTTAAGCGCTCATAACTCCTCGTCCAGAAACGTGCCGCTGATAGGAAAGACAAAATTTGGAATCAGCATTTTACGCCCTTCAACACAGTATACAATTCATCGCAAAAGGCCACTTCGACTGACCATCCTTCCCTCGTAAGAACAGCGCGAGAGCTTAGGGGGTGATACAGTCATTCAGCCACTTCTTTAAGCGCCTCTACTCAGAACGTGGGAGCTGACAATTCTTATTCTACAGCGGAGTGTTTACAGACAATACTATTTGCTAGGACAAAAGAAATGAATCTTATACTGAAAATGATTTCTGTCTCCGTTCAACAGCTGCTCTAAGGCCCCGGGCAGACTTCACGCGATTTGATCGTCGCGACGAGACAACTGTTACAACATCATTCCATGCCGATCAACTTGCATTCGGTTGTGATACTTTTCCAGCCCGAAATTTTTGAATGTGAAATGAAAATGAATGGAAATCTTGGCGATTAGATCGCGACGATTAAGTCGCGTGAAGTCTGCCCGGGGCCTAAAGCGACAACGCAGCTCTCAATTCTCCAGAACTCACACCACTTCATCTCCATGCGCAACTCTTATGAAGAAGGGATGAAAAACTATGGATCGCCTCCAAGCAGAAACAAACAACTGCAGGGTTGAGCATTACTTTTTGATTGACCTTGGTATTTATATAACTCCAGGTAATCTTGATTTACCTGCGCAGCCATGGCTTCACCCTGTATAGCCTGCTGTTGTGCGACGAACTCGCCGGCGGGCTGGGGCGGTTGAGCCGTGAACTGCTCAAAGGCAGGTCGACTCATTCCTTCCGACAGTGCTGGCTTGTGCCGGCTCTCAGAGGAGATTCAAAACTCTAAAATATTCAAAATGATCTTAAAACAAATTGAGTGAGAACCGACTATCATCTGGAGTGAATAGCTACGAAACCGAACAAAGAAAAAAACGAGAACATCGATAAATCCTCGTTCAAACAACCTCGATGTTGCGCCTGGACGAAGATCAATACTTGGAACAGCGCCAAGCCTCTCGTGTACGGTGGACTTCCACGCCAGACCAGTTTCCTAGGCCAACCACCCGAAGCTCCGCCTTTAAAACCGTGCCAATTTCTTCTTTCGAACCTAAAAATCTATAATTCTTGAAGTTTTCGCGGGTTTTTGATTTTTGCTTGCAAATTTGATTGTGTTTGAAGGTGCTTGTCTCTTAAGTGCGTCAAATTTGCAGCGCATATCCGAGGGGGAAGGTGTTTTCATACGGACCACTCGTTTTTGGTATGAATTAATTTTGGGGACTTTGTATAGCTAAGCTTGTATTCATGACACCCTGTGCATTTAATACTGCTTCGATACTGCACATTTCCTATTTTCGTACCCTACTTAGCCACCTACCGCTCATTTTTTATAAGCTTCTGGAAACTCTCGAATGCTTGCTTTTTGCAGCTAGTGATCGTGTTTGTTAGCTGTTGACTTGCCTCCTATCCTATATGGTTGTTCATGCATCTTCTAGTATTGTTTCTTTGCAATTCAACGGTTGCGTTCACAACCTTCATTTTTCTGTTATTTCTATGCTGCTAACAGGTGTACTAAAATTTGAAGGTAGTTGTGCTATCAGAAGGATGAAAATGAATGTGGTCGATGACCTCGTGATTCGATCCGAACCCGCCTACGCTGAGACCGATCCAACTCCTGATGGTAATGGTTGAACGTGACTTACCTGGTATTAGCCAGCTTCATTGATTGCATCCACTTTTAGTGATTGGTTTGGAATTTGTGCGTCAGTACTACACCATACTTTCGAAGTCGCCCGGGAGTGTGCACAAGTTTTATAGTCATGAATCGGTGTTTGTGCACAACGATGTCACAGTCATCGGGCAGCAGGTAATTTAGGTTCTGCTTCGTCGCCGTGCACATCTAATGTTCTTGAAAGCTGTTATTTTGAATGATATTTTGTTTAGAAGATAAAGAGCTGTATTGAACAACTCGTGGAGGCCAACAACAGATTCAAGATACACTCAGTGAAGGTGCGACTTTACATAACCTCCTGTGCTATGATTTATTCCTTCTCTTTCTATCCTTGTTGCATCGCACACCTGTACTATCCCAAATGTTGACAAGGACATCATTGTAGCACAGTCTAGAGATCGCTGTTTTTTTGCAGGCCTTCATGCTTTTTTTGAGCCAAAGTCTTATACAGGGATCTTTCACCTCGCACAAGGGGATCGTGCTGCAAGTTTGTGGAGAAGTGTCTACACGCCGCTTTTTCCAAACGTTCATCTTGGGCCAGCAGAGCGCCAAGAAGTTCTACGTGCAGAACGACATATTCCAGTTTGTCGATGTGGCTTTTCACAGTGAGTCGCAAGACTCACCTGCTCCTGCGCCATCCAACGAGGCTCCAGTCACTGAGGTGAGAAGGGTGTTCAAGTAGTGTCCTTCAGTGCTAACACATTTGTACTTCGGTGGTGTTCAGGCACAATCAGTTGACATCGATCTTGTGCAGAATGGACACAATCATTCCCATTCTTCCATTGCTTTGAGCTGTGAGGAGACTCCTATCTTGACAAGTGTTGTTTCCCATGCTAAGGTTAGCCCACCGAAACCTGCCGCGGCAGCTCCTCCTGTTCAGGGTAAGTCTTCACTTCTCTTATACGTTCTCTCTTCTACGATTTGTTGAATTTGAGATTTTAACACAACTATTCTTTATAATTTGCACCAGTCGCAATCTTGTAAGCAAAACAGTTTCAGCACAGTCCTATGCGCGAAATAGTTATTCCTTTTACTTTGCCTAACTATGAAAGCTGATTGTACACTCATCGCTTTCGTTCTTATGGAATGTGTTTGTCAAAGTTTTGAATGACATACATGCGAAGGGACCTCCTCCGTGAAAATCTTACTATATCGGTCGAATACTTTCAATCATTTTCACTCACGTATGGGAGCGTACTGCATTATTAGAGTTCTAAAATTCTCGATTCATTTTAAAGTCGTAGGACATTTTTTGCTCATCTCAAATCTACTAATAAAGTCTTAAAAGATTCTCTTGCGAGTAGGCAGTCGTCACATGCCACAAAAACATCATGCAAACACAGTCAAAATTTGTTTTCCCATCATCGGAAGTCATTTCGAAACTGCCTTTAGATCAGCGAGGTCTCCTCATTTTCTGGAAGGTTTGTTCATGCTCGACTATTTTCGATTAAACAAGAACGCTTGTCTTCCTACCGTTTTTTGGATCCTGTGAGCTGAATGCGAAACTGTGCGGAGCTTGTAATTATAGTTGAATTGGGAAAAAGCTAATCATCAAATGTGCTTCATGATTATCTCAGAGACATGAACATTGTTTGAAAGTTCTCAAGTTATTGATGTTGGATGGCTGTAGCTCGAACTAACTCGTATTACCTTGACAAAACGAATCTATGATGTGAAATATGCCATTCCACTATGAGCTGATGCCGGTGGAACAGGCTAATCTAGGTGCAATCGTTGAAGTGCACATATCGTCATAAATCAGCTTTGTTTCATCAGTAAATACCACAAATGAAACATCTCATAGTACTTGAGCATAAAAATTTTTGTTCTAGACACCTCCGCTAAGGAGCCAGTGTCAACTGAAGATGTGAAGTCAAAGACGGAGCTGCATAAAACCGAAGCGACTCCTCCATCGGCGCCACAACCAGAGCCTGTAGATGACACCCCGAAGACATGGGCACATCGTGTTGGTGGAGGAGCAAAGCCTGCTGCTCAAGCTCCACCTGCCACAGCACCTACACAAAAGCCATCTCCCGCGCCGGCCGCACCAACCGCTCCGTCGGCTACACGTCCCCAGCAAGCTCCCCGTCCACATGTGCAGACAAATGGTTTGAGCCTGTGCATTTGTAATTGTTGTAGGTCTTCACCTCATGGTTTTTTGCTTTCTAGGAGGGCCTATAGCGCAAGGGGAACGTCGTATCTATCTTGGAGGTATTATTAGGAATATGGTTCCCGATTCAACTAGCATTGCAGAACAGGAGATAAAGGATGCTTTTTCTAGTGAGTTTCGTCGTCTTCGTTCTTCCCTGTTTTGATTTTATTAGTAATTCTTTGTTCTTTCTGGTTACATGAAGTGAGCGCTAAGTTTTTGTGAAATGTCTTTGTCTAAATTTGACTCGTAACGCTTTTCTTTGTTTTGTTGTAGAATTCGGTGAAGTCGAATCTGTAGCTATTCCGCGCAAGGTTCTTGATCAGCCAAATGACACTACCCGCAACGGTTTCGCGTTCATCTCTATGCGAACTCCTGCTGATGCACAGAGCGTGTTCCAGAACGCTCGCAAAGACGTAAGCGCGTACGATTGCAGTGCTTGGCCATATACAATTCTTTTTAGGATCGTGGCATCTACCATCTTCAGCTGCGTTTGGATGCATTTGGCTTTGATGGCGAAGTGACGATTTCCGAGCAGAAAGATCGTCTTGACCGTCCGGGAGGCGGCTTCCGCGGTGGTCGTGGTGGTTTCATACCGCGTGGAGGAGCTGGCTCGTTTTCTCGTGGAGGTGGTGGCAGAGGCCGTGGAGGAGGCGGTTTTCGTGGTGGCTTCCACAATCAGAATAATCACCACTGAGCGTTTTTGAATCCTTCTGTGATGTTACAGCGCCTCACATCTTAGGGTGTCCTACCCAAGCGACGATAGGAAAATTTCTATTCCGTTCCTTAGTAAGTTGTGCGTCATCCTCTGTTGTCTCTATCTTTGAACCGTCCGTATTTCACTCCCTAATCTAACCATAGATCTATTGCAGTCGAAATCTCCCTGTTCCTTCTCCTTCACCTTATTCTTCGTCTGGCTCATTATATGTAACATGTGATTTCGCGTTGTTCCGGTTCGTCTAAAACATGATTTATTCAGAATGGTGTATATTTTGTTCATATTGAGGTTTCCCTTCAAAGAGCTCTAATGCTATAATCGTTGGCAATCTGAGTAGGGTAGAATGGGGAATTAGTGTGGTGCACTTGTGTTCTAGGTTTTCTGTTGCACCCGGGGCTAGCCAAAATATTATGTCGCTGTGTCTCGTAGATCTCCCAGTGCCGATTTCTCGACTTACTCGCTCTTCCTTTCTCCACCCTTCCACCACCCGCCCTCAGTCGGTACTAGCTCAGCTTGAGGTCCGCGTGTGCCGTGATGCCGGTGCCCCTCTCCTCGTTATTCTTGTTTTCTCATCGTTTTGCACTGTTGTTTTGGTGTGCTTGCGCAGGCCATGCAAAGTTGCATACATCCTTCCTTCGTTTCTCGGTAATATTGACATTGTGACTGCACTCAGGTCAGCGCAGCTTTCGTCCTTCTTTAGGGACCGGAGGTGTGTTGATCCTTCGTAATTTTTGTCATTTTGTTAATTTTACATTTGAATTTATTGTTGTTTTGCGACGAGTAAAATGTTGTTTTTAGTTCATAGTTCTTCTTCACGTATATTGTGGTCTACAACGGGCAACCTCTGATATATCTAACATAATCTAATAAAACATTGACCAATGTTTTGTCACGCATAGCATATACTCTCATTACAGTGAGAAGAAGATGGATGACGAAGATTTCAATGTAATATCACAACTCGATGATGCTGATCTTGCCTACCAGTAGGTTACATCCGTTTCTTCACAACCTACTTATTCTCATTTCTGAGGTCAAGCATCTGCATATTTTGCGATTTATAGTATGTCAAAAGTTCTGATTTTGAATGTTGTGAAATCTTATAAAAGGGATCTCGATGACTGAGAATCTTGACATGTACCTAGGCATGCCTAGGTAGGAGTTCTCAGCCTCCGTGAATCTGTATCTAAACGGCAGACGCAACGTCTTTTCATTGGTAATAGTGAGCGTCATTTAGCAATGTCGATGAAAATGAGCCATCAGTTTCTGGTGCTGCAGTAGTTAATGCGCTAAACGAGACTGGTCAAAGAAAGCGCCGGCTGATAGATGACGACCCGTTCAAGATGCCTCCTGATGAGGTTTTTACACATCCTATAGGTACGCGAATATTCTGGGACTACATTATCTGCCTTCAAACCTGTTTCAGACTGGCATATGCGAATGCCTTTGACCTTAGAAGAACACGAGTATAACAGCAGAAAACGTGTAAATGACGAATTGATTGCAAATCGGTTGTTGCACCGGATCTGTCAAGCTCGAGCAAAGCGAATGCGTGCGGCAAGAGAGCGTTTTGATGACGATGAGCATCCCTTTACTGAGGATGTAGACGAAAAGGAAAAACAGGTATCCAGATTTTCTAGTTTTGCCATCTTTCATTTTTCTACTTTAGATCATGGAAACTCCACCCATTGACGGGTCAGCTTGGTTAGGTGTAAATAGTGATGAAAACGATGAGAGGTTAGCATCAGATAACATTTACATAATCTCTGCCAACTGCTCGTTTTGAGGTTTTATGTCCGCTATCTGAAGAAATCTCGTGCTCCAGGGGCTGCAAATGAACGTGCGAACGTGGTACGCATGGAAATTTTAAGTCGGCAGTACCAGAATCTGAGGGAGGAAATCGAGGCGGTGAAGTGAGGATTATCATCAATTTCTTTATCAGACCTCAAATTTGTAAACTTGCAAAACTTTTCTGAGCTGTCGAGCCGACTTTACTCGGTTACTGTGACGGTCGTGCCCTGATCAAGCTGCATTCCTTTCAGGAATCACGAGATGCAGTTGATGGTCGATCGAGAGGAAAGACGAACGACCCCCGCTGAACTTGATGAGGAAAAAGTGCATGGAAGCAGCATGTGGATTAATAAGTACACACCACGAACCTATACGGAGCTTCTCAGCGATGATGTACGTTTGTGTCAAAAAAGCTGAAAGGAAGCTCAGCTCCATGTACAGGGAATCAATCGGACGTTGATGTCGTGGATGAAGTTATGGGATGAATGCGTATTTAAGAAAAAAATCACAAATTTACCTAAGACTGCATCAGTAAAGGACAAGGATCTTCTGACGCTAGACGCTGGTAAACCTCGCAGACCTGCACACAAGGTTGGCTAATACATGATTTTGCCAGGTAAAGTGTTAGCGAAAATTTCAGATTGTTCTGCTTTCTGGGCCGGCAGGACTCGGAAAGACCACGTTGGCTAATGTCGTAGCTCGGCAAGCTGGTTATGCTGTAGTGGAACTAAACGCTAGCGACAGCAGAAACGTTCCAGATTTTGAGAAGGCTCTGGAAGGAGCAATTCGTACGTCACGAACTATAACCCAGGTAAAAATTGGTGTAGTTTCAACAGCACTGATCTGTTCCTTCATTTTATGGTGACACGTTCAAAAAATGTTGAGATTGCTGTCAAATTTTGATTGTTTTTGATGTAGACTCTTTGCAGCCATGCTGTATAGGGAAACACATTGTGCATCTAAGACTATGCAGTGTTCGTTCGAGTTATCCTAAATGTATCCCTATGAGAGTTTTGTTTGCAATCGTGTCGCTCGCTAAAGTGACACTACTAACAAAATATGTCTTGCTCATTCTGACCATTGCTTCACATCAGTACCCTCTTTTGACTCTGAACTTTTAGGGAAATCGCCCTAACTGTCTTATTCTCGATGAAATCGATGGAGCACCTGCAGAAGCGGTCAGATATCTGGTCAAAGCTGTGCAAGCGGCGGGAAAAAAGGCTATTCGCCGGCCAATTATTTGTATCTGCAATAACATGTGAGGTTTTCCTCTTTGGTTCAAATCCATCTGCTCATAATGCCAAATTCATCATTAAACATCAGGTACACCCCTGCTTTGCGCGAATTGCGCACCATAGCAATGAACATCCAGGTGGCGGCTACCGCAAAGGACCGTTTGATACAGAGGTTAACAACGGTATGTGATAGTGTTTTCGTAATCCATGTATCTCAAGTGATCATATGTTTAGATCGCAGAGCTAGAAGGAATTCGCGTAGATCGCTTTGCGTTGCAAAGGCTTGTTGAGCTTTGCCAGTGCGATGTCCGATTTTCAATCAACACTTTGCAATTTGTATCTATCAACGCAAAGAAGAGTGGTAGGCACATTTCAGCAGAAGACATACAGAAGGTGCGACCTTTTGCAATTTCGGTTGCTTTTTGTGAGTGGTATTTTTAGGCTGTGGAGCGGGAAAGAGTGGGTTCAACGTCGATTTTTGAGAATTGGTCAACCATGCTAGATTTCACGCATCATTTCGACAAGTGAGGCTAATGAATCTTCGATTTTGCCCATACTTTTCTTAGCCGCTGGTGATTCGTTTCAATTTGTGCTATTTCAGGAAAGGCGTATTAAAAGCGTTACCGGACCGTCTCCGTCTGGTTGAGAGAGTAGCTATAGAGAGAGGCGATGACCGTTTTGTGAACGGGCTACATGCAAACTACCTTAGCGTGAATCTCCCCCTCAACACCATACGGATGGGAGCGGAAGCTTTCATATATTATGACAGAATAATGCTCGCGGTGCGTTGCTACATCATTATCGTTCAAAGTGTAAAAAGATTGAATTCAATTTTACAGATAAACGAAAAACAGGATTATGTGCTAATGAGATATCTTCCCGCATTCTATATGCTTCTTCATGCAGCAATAGCTACTCACACCAGGTCGGTGTCCTTCTTTTTTTTATTTATCGACAAGAGATGCCACAAGACACTTTTTATCCACTTTAGGGCAAAATTGAAATATCCACAACTTGAACAGTCTGCCACACAGCGACTACGTGAATCGCAGGAAACCTTGGCAACAATTCAAAGCGGACTTCTCACTCGTCACTCACCTTCAGCCCTCATTTACGATGTTCTCCCTCTAGTCGTACAGATTGTACAACCGCCCATCAAAGCTGTAGGTTTTGGAAAATTGCATAGTCTGTAACGAAGTCATCCACAAAAATGACTTTCAGATACTTTTCCTTTTCTGCTACAATAGCAACTTATCAGAAATATCTCTCCATTTGACTTTTACTTCTAGAATTATTTTTAGATGAATCAGCAACTGTACAGCTCAAAAGAACTCGAGCAGATCAACGGTGTTGTGAGTACGATGGCCGATTACCATCTCACCTACGCTCCTACCGTTGTCAACTTCCAAGCTCAGTATCTGTTCCAGCCGTGAGTGATAGATATTCAAGTTCTCCTCTCACTAAACTAACAATTTTCTGATTACTCATTTTATAGGCCAGTTGATATACTGACCATGTTCCCTATCACTGATGAGAGTTCTCGCTGTTTACTGTCAAATTCTGTACGGCAAATGATTGCTCACAAAGTAAGACCATCTATGAGTAAAGCTGTCGGCCCAACAGACAAGATTCCTTTTTCAGATCACCCTCTTCCTTGCAACTGGTAAAAGCGCAGCTGAAAATGTTCCACCGAAAACCAACACAGCACACATCAAGGAAATGGTGGCTGACGCAAAGGAACTCGCAGCAGCCAAAGCTGGACAACCGGGTCCATCACGCCCACTCTTCTACAAATACAACACAGGTTGCAGTACGGCTGTGAAGCGCACCATCCGAATGCACCAGTTGTTAGGTTGATCTTCACCTCATTTTTATGTAAAATTTGCCTTTTGTTTTGAATTTTTCCAAAACCCTATGTCTTTGTCCTTCTATCTGTATATAGCGATTCACCTGCTTTATTCATGACGCAATGTAATCATTCCTTTATGTAATACAACATTTGGTTTGTAAATTTGAACTCTAACACAAATAAAATGCTGAAATCAGTTCCTTTTGATTTCTTCTAAAATCCAGCGGTGTTATGCCTCATCTATAATAGATGCGCTGATTTTCTGTAATTTCAAAAAGCGGTGCTTTTGTAGATGGAGAATGAAGACCCCAGCGGCGCTGAGAGCGATGAGGACAACCCCAAGCACAGTCTGGGTTTTACTAAAGAACTTATCGAAGAGATACGATCCACAAAAGCGAATAATCCGGGAATGTTTGTCTCTGCTTGGCAAGATGATGATCAAGGCATACGAGAAGCTGATTTGGAAAACACGACTGATCGGTTTTTAAAGGAAGCTGAGAGCGGCAATGTTGATGCGTTGAAAAGTATGCTCGAGAAGGACTCTAGCTTGCTGAAAGTTTGCGATGAAGACGGCTACACAGCTCTACACCGTGCTGCCTATAATAATCACTTGGATGCGGTCAGCTTTCTCCTTGATGCCGGAGCAGATCCAGAGGCGAGAACGAAACAGGGCTGGACCGCGCTGCATTCGGCCGCCAACTGGGCCAACTACGAAATCATTGGACGTCTGATCTCGCATGGCGTGGATGTGAACGCCAGATCGTCTGGATCCGTCACACCGCTCCATCTGGCCATCAGCGGCCAGTGCGAAGATGGCGAAAACGTCTTTCACAGTGTCCGTTATCTGCTACAGGCACCAGGAATTGATGCCGCCGTGCCAAGCGGCTCCGGTGACACCCCTCTTGATCTCGCGCGAAGGACTTCCGCTGCTGTTTACGCATTGATCATTGATCATCTCACGCGCTGATTTCTCCATTCTGAATCTCCGTTTCCAGGAGGAACGATAGAACTGTGCAAGTCTCACATTGCCTTGTGTATTCTTACTCAAGGATTTTTTCAAGATATGGGGTTGTAAATTCGAAAATATTTTTGATAAAGGTTGTCTTGGTTTTACTTCATATATCATTTTATGAAAAAAAAACTTGTAAGTATTAGTTACCAGTTCTAGTTCAATGGATTGAGAATCGATTGGGATTACGGAGTTTAATAAACATGAGAATACTAATTTCCCGTCACTGAATCTACCATCATGTTATTATTTTAGTTCACATCAAACCTAAGAGCTCGCTTATGCTAGGTGGTCTTGTCGACGGTTTTCAGCATTATAACGTGGTTGGACAAATTGAATCACTTTTTGAACAATGTTTCAAGCTTGGAAGCCTCCCGAAAAAGGAATTTTGAGATAGTGGAGGAACTTAGTAGATTTTGAACAATTGTCTTCTTGACAGTAATTATCTGTCTATGACTGAGTGTCTCAAGCTTGATTTGAAGTGATCCACGAGTTTGATTACTTGCCACTAACGAGACATATCATAGTACCAACAAATACCAACAAACACTTCAAAGGCAAGGTTTAGTTACATGATGTCTCAATAATTTATATCTTTAGTTTGTTTGCATATATGAACGGATCAATAACTGACTTTCGGTACTGTAGGATTACGATAAGTTTTAGAAAGTTTCGTTCCACTGAGAACAACTTTCCCGCAATGAGGCTTCCCGAAAGAGCTGATTGGAAGTCAACGAGAGTCCCTGTTTTTATACGCGGTTCTTTTTTTATAACGCACAATGCAGAACATTTATGTTTAAAGGACCGTCAGGACTCTCTTCTAGAATAGATATTCTCTGTTACATTTGAGCAACATCACAAAGATTCGTTAATTGCACAAAGTGTCCGAAAACCATCCCCTCAGCAAAATGTATCAAATTTTTTGGAAATCCTCTTCATGGCATCAAACGGGAACCTTCTACCGTAATTTTACAGTGTTGAATAACAATCGATGATTGTGTATCGTGAATGTGAGAAATGGAGCCAATTTCACATATTGTGCTTGGAAAGAGCAGTCAATTATCGAATAATGAATATATGTACAATAAATTCCTTTCCTAATGTGTGCATGTACACATGCTCCAGAATATCGACAATGAAGACCAGGTTTTGAAAGCTTCCCCAAACACAACTAAGCTTGTAGAAAAAGGAGGAGAGCTGAGAAGCACGCAAAAAACAGAGTCTGTGTCACTCTGATAAACCCAATCTGGAATTTTTGCAATCGCACACTCAACAGGAAACCAGTGCAATGTTTCGAGAGCATCATCAATGTTCTGAAGAAATCAGTAATCACCAAAGGAATGGTTCATGAGAAAATCGTATCATCTGAACAAATCGCTCAACTATGAATAAAGAATGACGACTTGCCATCGACAAATGCTGTGGTTATACATTCACCTGTTATCTCAGTAAGTATATAAATCAATAGAGTAGCTATCTATTGAATTTTTGAACACAAATTCCGTGTTCTGCACGTAGCGACTATATAGATTTGATAAAGCGGAGGTCAAACAGACATGATGCTGATAATCAGAAACAATTGTTGAAGGCAGTACAAAAGTGAGTAGATCTGCCAATGATTGTATAGTCATAAGTGTCTAAAAGGTGAAATTCCAGGATCTGCCTGTGTATCAGGCGATCAAGTGCTGGATTCTGCCTAACATGAAGCAGTTTTAACGATTTGTATAATTTTTTTGTATGGAAAGGAGATAGTCTGAAAAAAAATTGGCTCAATTTGAGAAATATTTGAATTATCTTGGTCAAATAAAATTTGAGTGTGATTTGTTTGTCATTGATGTCAGGTTCGATCACCTATGTGCGTAGGTGGCTATGTTATGTCTTTCGAAGCTATAAACAATAAAACATCTTCAACAGGCTATATTTATAGTAGAAACATCTTTAAAATCTTGCCCTCACCTCTTCCCGATCTAGAGAAGTTGGACGTTGTAACCACTGAGAAAATTCCTTTCAATCTTGGCCCAACGCTAACAAGATTCATAAAGGCAGTGCTTCCGGAAAATTGCAATTACGAGCTTTCCATCTCCTTGGCCTTCTGAATACGCTGAGTCCAGGGCTGTGCTCAAAAAAAGAAAAAGTGCTTTTCATGGCGTTTCCCGGTTCCGGAAAATGCCGGAGAGGATGGGCGGGCGATTGCCAACTGAGTCGCGATTGGCTGCCTGAGCTGATCAGCCAATTGCCACCAAAATGGGTGAGGCTACAGTATTGTGCAGCCAGTCGCTGTTTATGGAGGGAATCTCCCTCAGCAGGTTACAAAGCCGGGAAACTCCGAAAAAGCACTTTTTTGACTTTTCAAGCACAATCTCGGACTCAGCGGATCCAGAAAGCCATATAGGTGCGAAAAGCTCGCACTCGCAATATTCTCGAGCCACTGCCTTCGAAAGTCTGGTATAATCAAACTTTTATTCCTTTTCTTTCAAGACTTGAGTAAGGTGAATGAAGAAACAATATGGCTATGAGCAAGGGTATACTCCGCTCCAAACTGCGACTTACTCTCATTCTGCGTATCTCGCGGATTTCGTTTGTAGCTGGCGATTGCCGATGAGGAGAAAAACGACCAGCAATTAGACTTACCGTGTAGGTTGCGCAGCGATAGAATCGTATTGCAATTCCTTCTTATTTTTGTAGGCTTTCACTCATGATAAGTGGAAATCTATGAGCGATAGCTAGGGAGTTCCGGCTCATTCAATCTTGAAATTCTAAGTTTGCCCGAATTATGGATAAAAATCGTTTCCATGCTCACCAATGCGCGTGGACCACCGAAAATGCAAGAAGAGCAGCGCCATAGGGTAAAGCAGGCTCTCTACGAGGCCATTAGAGATCTGCTCTTATTGTGATCCACATGAAGTTTGAAGCGAAAATCGGACACACTGAGGCCAGTCTTTGCCTTAAAAAATAATCCTACAAAATTGCCGCAACTGTAGGTGATTCGTGTGGTGGACACATAGCAATACAGTAAGGACACTTGCAAATTTTTTCTCAGAGCTAAAATTCAGGAAAATACATATAATGGCCAGAAAGTACGAATTCTCAATGTTTTTCTTGTTTTTGTTTGTGACAAGTCTGTAGATTTTCATTTACCAGGGTATACATCAGTGTTATATGCTTGTATCAAATTGTTGAAGTTTTATAGAACACAATCGCGCATGCAACTGAACTCCATTTTTTTCACCAATGCATAACATTTTTTAATCATTTTTCATTTCATTTTCAATCAAATTTCATCATTTTTTAAAAATGTTAGCCATGAAAAACATAATTAGTGTTCATAAAGAAAATTTTACATATCTACCAAATTGACTAGTAAGAAATAGGATTGTTTTTGAAACGGATCCATTGTTTGAGGTGATCGAATACTCTTAACTTTCAGCCTCAGACGTTTATGCGGATTTATGCGAAGTCGAGTAGTTCTCCTGTAAAGTTTGCTTTGCCCTACCGAATAGCGCAACTCATATTTTCTGGTGTTCGCCTTGTTGCCATAAAAAACAGTGTGCTTTTTTCCAATCCTATAAAAATTGCACAAAATAGTCTATCGACATTTGTCCGCACGCGTCACTTCGACCTCAGCGAAGTCGGAAACGACGACGTCGAAGATGATTTGTTAAGTTCGAAGACGGCATCCACCCAAGTCTTCGCCTTCCATGTTCTTGCTAATCTTATTTTTGTCATTCTGAGGTCTTTCCTTGGCCCTGTTTAAGATATGAAGAGTACAGGGAAACCCTATCCTGGAGACACTTCAACTTTTTTCCCCTTTTTACCCTTTTTTAATTTCGACCCGCAACTTTCAGCGCGTGGTTGGGCGGAACTTGTTACTGCGGGCGTGGTTTGATAGCACTTTGCGGGTTGCAGGCTTCCTTTCCATTCAGATACCACATTAGAGGACCAGACCAACGCAGATGTTTTACTCTTGAGGCCTTCTTGTAATCTAGGGTGCTAATCGGGGAGGGGGGGGGGGGGGAGCCAGATTTTGCCTGGACACTGCCTTTGACGTCGTGAGTCGCGCGTGTCGCGCCCTCGCTAGCCTTATCTGTCGCTAGCAGGCCAAGGCCATGCGGATGGGGGCTAGGCTCGCTCGCCCCGATCGCTTGCGTCCACCTCTTACACGCACAATTTCAACAATAGCTCAGCCATTCTCAGCGCCTAATCCGTGTCGAAGTTCCCATTTGTTGTTCGCTTTGTTCGTCTGGCCACACACCGTGGCTTCGTTGGAAAAAATAAGTGTCAACCTAGTTTCTAGCCGACACTAAGTACCCACAAATGGCTCTTTTTTCTATTTTGCTTTGGCTTGTTAGAAGATTTATTACACTTGAAAATCCGAGGAATTTCATTATGTATGCTCTCATCGTCTGGTCAATTCTTACACTCGGAACAACACCATGGGGGTGGGAAGGGGGAGGGGGCGGCAGAAGAAGAAAGTGGGGATCTCAGTCAAATACGGTTGACTTCCTTGCAATTGCACTGAGTCTTAGCAATTGCCCACAAGCTTCTTTACTTCCTATCCCAACTTCTATTAGTCAGAAAAGCAGCGACAGAATACAAAAAAGTGAAGTAAGAGAGTGCAAAAACTAACTGCAAAAACTGCAACTGCAAAAATTAGTACCCCTAGGTCCCCCCTATCTGAAATCTAGCATGTAAAAACGCTTCTTTTTTTTTTTACAAAATTTCGCACTAACAGAGAAGTTCTTTCACAGATAGGTTCATATTATGTCCTGACTTATGTGCTAAAATGCGAGGTACCCTAAAATCCGACATGTAGGGCCTTCACGAAGATATCCGTTTGAAGATGAGTCCGATACAGATAAACTGATTCGGAGTTATGACCTCAGGGTAGTTCTAATGAAAAAAAAATATTTCAAAGGCTACTGAATACGGACTTTCTTGAGTCAAAAGCAGCCTTATATGTCAGATTTTAGGGTGATTGCTTATTTTTCGATACCAAAGCGCCCCAGTTTAAAGGCAGTGTCCGGGCAAAAAGTCGATTCTGAGATTTTGTGCTTACCCGGGCCTATTCCCTATGCTGAATCCGAAAATCCACATTGGAAAGCTCTAAAACGACGAAAAAGGGCTCTAACGCAGGAGTGAAACCAAAAGTGGGCGGGGTCTTCCCCAGGGCGAATTCACGGTCCCGGCTCGCGGAGCGACCTTTTCGCTTCCGACTTCAGATCATGCATTCGCACTTGGTCCGTTGAGATGTCAGGGCGGTTAGTGGAATTGAAAAGATCGCTCCGAAAGCTGGGACCGTGAATTCAACCTTGGGGAAGACCCCGCCCACTTTTGATTTCACTCCTGCGTTAGAGCCCTTTTTCGCCGTTTTCGCGCTTTCCAATGTAGATATTCGGATTCAGCATAGGGAATAGGCCCGGGTAAGCACAAAATCTTAAAATCAACTTTTTGCCCGGACACTGCCTCTAAAAACGTAGTCTTAGTTTCTGGTGTCTACATCTGGCGATTGTCTGTGTTTCCACGTAAATTCCTTTTTCAGCTAGACCATCACTCCTTTTATCCCATTCCACCTAATCTTTACCCGGACACCCTAGACTCATCGATATTTTACTGTTCTCTTTAACTGTGCACTCTGGTAGATAGGTGCGATGACCTAGTTGGCAACAATTACTGTTCGACTACATCGGTTAGGCTTCCCATACTCGAAAACGATATTCGATTGTTATTTGGGCATATGCTTCCTGATAAATCATCGAACTGTCACACAACTAGGTGATTTTTCTAGACTGATTCGTAAAGGAATCGAGCGGATTCGAGCGAACACTGAAATTAGTCATGATTGAGCGATCAGACTGTTCTCTTTGTCTTCCCTCATGATTCAAATTACCCTTTTTTCTACAGCTTTTCAGAAATTTTAGTCGTAGTAGAGGGTTTGTTGGGAAGCAAATGGTATTTACATATGACCAAATTTCTACGTTGTTTCTCTTTCTTTTAAAGCAATGAAGCTTGTTTTAACTGAGCCTTGAAGACATCCCCCATCTAGAAATCTTCAAAACAGGCTAAGAAATGCCTGGATTACTGACTTTTTTTCTAGACTTATTGTTAGTTCAGTCGATCTTGTCTTCTAATCACTTCTCCTTTCCAAAAAAATACGATTACTGAAAATAACGTCTGTTGATTTCATATTCCTTACAAAGACGCTTACTTTTGCGACTACTTCTTATGAGAAAATCGAGAACAGTAAATAAAACGATGTGTGCTGCAAGTAATTTTTTTGTGTAATATATCCAGCTAATAGAGAGATCGTGAAAAGCTCAACAATAAATTAGGAGTCTATATAAAAGCTGTATTTTCACATCTACTTGCTGAAACAAGAAAGATTCAAAATACGACCTTCAAATGTATTGAACCGTGTAATCCATAATGTCCTCGTCATCGGAAACCGTGTGTCTTATTCAAAAAATATCATGTAATTTTTCAAAAATATTGTTGTGTCTTACAGTTCTTCGCATACTTTCCCAGATCTTATCGCCATTCTTTCTGTTCAGGTCCAACAAATAGATGTTTGTTGAATTACAACTTTTGTGATGAACTGTTTTCTTTTATCATCAGCCTTTTCATCTGCTTCTGTAATTTGGATTCATAGCTAAACCTTGCAATTCTTTTTTTGAGTTGTAACCCCATTACTTGAGTAAAGGAACAAACGCATCATGCCTAATCTCTCATGCATATCATATAATGTCTTGAACCTTGCTTTCATCGTAAATCTCTATTCAAGAATGATGATTGATAATCGTTCCGCTTCAAGCAGGTAATAACGAACTAGTCGTGTACGGTTATCTCAATCTGTCACCGATTTCACGCATATCCTTCATATGCGGTTTAGCTCCTGCTCTAATCTCTGAAAAACCATAACCCTTTTGTGAATATAATGTTTCGCACAATTCTCGATACGCTTAAAAGAGGTTGGTATGAATTACAATTTTAGTAGAAACGTAAGAACTAATCGTGACCTTGTTCTGCGCCATTTGGGTCAATTGAGGTCTAGTGTGCTGAAATAAAAATTTCAATCTGCTGAATTTCGATTGCAAGTTTAGCCATACAAACAGTTTTGATTTGCCGTGAATTCGGATCTAAATGCTTATTATATTTAATAGGCGTCTTCGTTTTTATGCTAATCAGAACGCCTCCTTGCCTTGGATAAGCTCAGAACCTAATTATTTTTCAACTTTCAGCTCTATCTAGCAATCAAAATAACAACAGAGAATTTATTGCTTAATCTTTAAATGGACTCGGAAGTTGCTTGGAAAAATTTTTATTGTAGGAATTTCCGGAAATAATGCGCTTCGGAAATCATGAAAGAAGTTTTCATGATTGATTGACTATGAAATCTTCATATCAAGTATAAGCAACAATCTAATACTATGAACAGATCTAATTTCGGCTTTTCGCCTAACACCAGACGAAAACCAGACGGGGTATACAATCTTCCTCATCATTTGTGAGGGAAGTTCATGGTCATAATAATTTTGAAAAATAAACTTACTCCAATTAAATTGCTCCTTTTTTCAAAGTTGGTAATTCTCGAACTCCGCTAATTGACCATCTAAGTTTTTACGTACAGCATATTGTCTGTATTTATTAAAGAAAAAATGACCATAGAAGTTGTATCCTGTTGCCAACTAATCGGAGACTATAAAGCATGAATTCGTAAATGTGTGAATGCTAATAACTTAGTAATCAAGATGCAAAAGCTATCATTTCATATTTCGAGTAGGATAAAAACTTCGATTGCTAATACTGACCACCTAATTTCCTAATCGTGTCAGACGTTTCAGACATTAAAACACAGCCTTCCTTTTTTTCGTCTTTCTCCTTTTCCCATATTGTTATACTTCCCCCACTGTGAGCATCCTCTTCTCTCATAACTGTCCCTATATCGGACATGAGGAAGAACTTTTGTATGAACTCTGTGAACGAAAACGAGGCTAAACCGACATCCGGACGTATCCGTGGTGAAGAATCGTTTGCTCTACGTTTGTTTTCGTTTTTTCGTCCTAGATTCACGCGAGAATCTGATATTGCATGGGACTCTTTTGAGAAGCTACTATGGTCTCTACTAGTCATGTAAAGTACTCTACTAGTCTCATGCTGCATCTCGCAATAATTCTCAATGATTTGCTTGGCGGTTGTCTTTCGAGAATGTTCTGGTATTTATATTTTCTTCGTGCATTTCAATCTGCCTTCAATCTTCCTTTCAGGTATGAGGAACCTGGTGTCATTAATCCTACTAGTAACATTATCCTGCACATCAGGTTCGTTCCTAGACATACCTAGTTTTCGTGAATGAAAATTTGAGAGGTAAATTTTTCAAGAATCCAATAAAAACGGTTTTTTCTGCTCAGATAGCGTCGAGTGAACGGTTTATTCTGGAAAGTGATACTTAACTAAATAATGAATTCGGTCTGCACTTGCAGCCTCTTCTCCCATTTTTCTTCGCCCATGTTTTTCTGTTTACCGAAAATCCTCAAGGTCTTTGAAAATTTGCATAGACTAGCGTCGTATCTCTTGTCGTTAGCCTTGCTTCTTTGACTAGATATGACTTTGCTTTCATGAAGTGAGATACAGTGAGGTCTTTTGGACAACAGTTGTTGTTAAGGGATATTAGAACGCAAAAAAGTTCAATTCTTAATAACGCAACTGTCGATGTCGGACACTTGGGCATTATCGTTTTTAAAACCTGTAAATTCTGGCATTCAATAAAAAACATTATCTTCTTTTAGACTAGTCATATAATGCTGAAGTTCTTTAGCCTCCCCAATCACATCTCAGCAATGCAGCCCTTACTATGTTCGATGGCCTCGAGTTCGGCTCAATTTTAAGTCTGTGGCTAGCGCTCGTTTATCCCTGAAGGCCTGTGAGGGTGCCTGCTCATTAGGAGAAGATCCCCAATTGCCAGGTGGGGTAAAAATCCTTGAAATGCTAGATGTAAATTAAAATATTTCCAGGGCGAGCATTAGAATGTGCGGCTCTAAATCACCATCCAGCACCAGATGGATTCGCACATCAGTGTGATGTCTTCCAACCGCATCAGCTTCAAAATGTTGACGGCTACGTGGAAGCAGATGATCGTTACTCTTTCTTCTGGAAGTACTGTCTTAACTGTGAGTTGGATTTTTTTTGTAGCTTTTCGAATGGGCTTTTTTTACTTGTTTCATTCATTCGTCTTCAAGTTTATGTAGTTTCCTTGTACTTTTAACGAAGCAATACATAGAAAAGAAAATCACTTAGATTATGTAAAAAACACCTATAAGATCTACTTCGAATATTTTCTAGCAACCCGAAAGTGTGGCGGTGAGTATGCGTTCACATATCTCTCCGACCGATATATGAACCGTCAGGATGTGGTCCGAGTAACGAAAAAGAAGAGCCTCGAAGATTGCTTAGTGGAATGTCTCGAGGAGAAATCGTGAGATTACTCTCCATGCCTACTTCCCATAAAATTCTCAAGATATTTCCAGACTCCCATGTCGTTCGGTGTCGTTTAATCGTACCGATGGCGGATGTCATGTGTCAGGCGACAGTCAACTGACCAAACCACAAGCGATTCGATTGAATAATAACCCGAATTTCCGCATTGACTACTACGAAAATAATTGTTATAATTGTAAGTTGCTATACATCGTACATAGCTAATAATTTAGACTGGTCGCAGCGTTGCTAACGGAAAGTCTTTGATGACTTGTGAAGAGTGTAGAAACTTTACTTTTGAGAACTGAGCTTAAAGTAAAGTAACGAAAGAATTTGAAAGAATGACTACCATGGTTAGAAATATATAATTCGAAAGTATCGGGACCAAATTTTTCGTGATTATTTTTGATCTTCCCGTAGCTTTTCTAACAATTTTTTGTAGACAATTCATGCCACAAACAAATCTGTCATTTTTCACCACTTAAGTGGGGACTATACAACAATAGTGCACTTTCGGTGAGCGTAGTTCACGTTCAGAAAATTCTAGTAGGCTCTTGTAATAATACTGAATTCTAAGCAGTAGTTACAAGACAGTCAAACAGTTTAAGTTCCTTGGCATTTATCGTCTTTCGTCAACTGGCTGAGATTCTGAAACTCCAGACCGCATCAGAAATTTCCTAATTTTTGTTGAAAGTGATCTGAACTCTGACCTTTTCAAATAGTAAGAACTGCGCTCAAACTAGGGACAAAATTGGGGTAAATGGCGTCACAGTTTTCTCTGGCGTGTTCTTTTAGCGTCTCCTCTGCTAGCTTACTCCTTGAAAAAGACAGTATATGAGGTTACCGATTTCTTTTATTCCTGACAATGTTTCAAATAAGTGTACTAGTGATGTGATCGACTGTGTTCGCCATATTACTCTGATTTTTCGCAGAAATGTGTGTGAACGCGCAATTTGTGGGAATACAACGCTGACATTTGACCCAGTTACGGAGCGGATCAGTTTTTGGATTAAAGAATGCTGACTTAGGGGAGAATAGGGAAGAATTAAGAGCGCAAAAAGTATTTGAAGGGCTAGTTACACGATCGCCATTTTCGCGCGATGACCTCTCGCTGTTCATGGCAGGGGAAAGTACGCATTTGCACATAAAATGACTCCATAACCGGTTACGCGGGTAGCGTTAGCGAACCTGGTTAGGAGGTCAGTGCGAGCGGGAACTGATTGGAGTATGTCAATCTGAGAAAGAGTCTGGGTATCATATGTATGAGAAGTTATTAGATAAATTGTTCGAAATGGCAGGTCATCAGAATTGATTATTCCATATTTCAGTATCGGACACGTTCAAGTTTGAGCAAGAATGTCGTGAGGATGGAATATTTATTCAGGTAAGCAAAAGTACTGCTTTTTTGACCCAGATAAGTCAGTCAATTTCGCCTTAGAGATAAGTCTTTCTTCCATTATAACTACCCTAAATTTTTGTCAGATAGGTCGCCTTATCTGTATCGGACTTATCTTTAGATGAAATCATCTGCGGGGAGGCCCTATATGCCAGATTTTAGAGCTACTTGGATCCCCTTCAAATACGAAGTTTTTTAGGTGAAGAGCAAGTTCCCCTATACCGGCGCTCTCTATGGTTTATATGACTTCTTCACTTGTCGTATCGAACCCAAGGAGTCCACGGAATTCGGCTATTTGTTTGCATCCCCCTCAAGCTCAAAGAACTGCAGTGACAGTATTCGATTCCAGGTAATTTTCCCTAAGATTCGTTCCCTACTTGCAAATTTATTTTCACTTCAGGGAGATGAAATGATACTAGACGTTGTGCTATCCACGGATGGAATCGAGCCTCTTTACTTTATCACCCCTGACGACTTAACCTACCAGGCTAAATGCCCGATTATCAACAAAAAGAAGGTTGAAGGCGGCGGTAACAAGTTAGAGGAAGAAAAAGAGTAAGTTTAAGGTTGTGTGAGGTAATCCCTTTGAGATACTATCTCAGGGATTCACTATCATCCAAATAGATCTCGGCTATGTGAGTCTTGAGTGCAAACGAGCGCTAATAGAGAATCTTGAGCGTAGATCGTTATCTGCTTCAAATGGCGCCGTTCTAATGTTTTCTGAAGAAATTGCTAAAAGGAGAAAGTGCATCAAAACTTTCGCACTGGCAATTGGCGAAGAAATGCATTTAGGAAGTGGACTGTACCTTTTCGGAGAAATTCTTCGACAAGGGGTTGCTTGCAGATTTCTGTTTCATCAAAGGCACCTTTCGTCCAAATTGAGGATTTTGTATGATGCTGTTCAATAGCGGCACTCCTCACTATGTAATTTCCCCCAACTTCCGCTGCAAATGGATAACTACGAAGCGAGAAAATCGTTTCAGAAAGTAGAAGCAACCTAGGTAGCTCCGCCTATCAAGGTGGGTGGTCCGAAGATCATGACTCTAAAAGGGGCTTTATGGTAGATAAAAATGTCGAAAATCTGATAATCATGACGAAAGGCGGATATTTGACAACTCTAGATATATTAAAGCGCGATTTTGGACGTTTCATCTCCAGACCGCCCACATTGATAGGCGGAGCCGGGCCGCTTCTATATTCTCGCTTCGGAATTCATCTTTTGCAGCGTGACTTGGGCATTCACTTAGTTAGGGGTCCGCTGTATACACGGTCAAAGTCTCACCAACCTCAACTTTAGTGGACGGTACCTTCAAGTAGTTTGAATTAGGCCTCTTTGAGCTTCTTATATTATGAGTTTGTTTTGTTAACACACCTCCAAATAGATATTTATCGCAGTTTTTGGCACATATATTTGAAGCAGTTAAGTTGCACAACCTACCACTTTCAGGCAAAAAACCATCATAAAATTGGCCCGTACAGAACCTCGCACAGAAGCTCGACTCACCACCTCGCAGAAGACGTTGACAAGCAAAGCAAAACTCTTCAAGCAAACTTTCACGCTTCCACTGACCACAGCGCAAAATGTGCCGTCGACCAGCACCGAGGCCCCGTTCAAGCAAGTTATTCAGCAAATCATTAGAGCTCACCTAGTCAATGCAACACAAGATTCTGAAGAGCACGAGCTTCTTTCCGACATTGAGGAACAATTTCTTGCACAAATAGCCATATATGAACCGCAGGAGTCGTCAATGTCGCCATTCCAAGCACCCATCCACGATTTTTTCTCTAAACTTAGCACTGATTCTGTTGAGAACGATGCACTTGAAGTGGATTCATGGGAAATTATACCGGGAGGTTCACACACTACTAACAGCTCTGGCACTAGCACTACTGCACCTATTATCGTGAGCACAGTATTTGAAAAAAGACCAGAAAATCTAACAAATATTGAGAAAGACCTCACACTTGACACTATCGAACCTTATTTGGGACAAACTGAAATAAGTGAGTCGACACCCTACGAGCAGTTTGGCTACATCAGCGCCACTGATCAGACCATAGAAAGCAGCAGAAGACAAGATGAAAGCACAATGCCAACAGATCCTTCGGGTAGTACATCAGTTGCCAACACTCTGACTTCTCCTACCACCACTTATCCAGAAGAAACAGGGCATAACTCAACGGTAGCAGGAAGTGAGGTTTCCAGCCAGAATGACTCTGAAGTTTTTTATAGTGGTGAGAATGTGACAAGCACTTTACCAAGCACGGATTTAGCGCCAAATCAGACAGACGTTACAAATTCCACAACGCAGAAGTTTGATCTGGAAAATTCGGAATATTTCTTTACGAGTGTCGAAGCACTGTTAAATGGAAATGCATCTGATGTACCCACGGATAATCCTTACGAGATATTTGTAAGTGAGATAACGACTGCAATACCTACTGGTGAAAGCTACCCAGAAGAAACTACCACAGCCCTGTCGACACCTGAAAGCGCCACAATGGGAAGCCGATCTGAAGTGCCAAAAGATCTCGCTATTACCATGCCAAGCACAGAAAAGTTCGATGCCGAAGGTGAAGGGTTTACCAAGAATCCCTACGATCATACTAGCGCCACATTAGAGCCCGGAGTCAGCACTTCATACGGCACCGAAGTTACTGAGATCGTGCCAACTGCTCAGCCACAAAGGGAACCTTTCGCGAGGGATATCCACAAGGGAGGAGACACTGTTGAGCAGATGTATAACTCAACGATGTCTGTGACAATCGAAACAGAAAACAGTACCGAACCTACTGCTACTCAGACTTTGCCGGAGATTACGACTGATATTCTGAGCTCGGAGTCAAACGCGGTGTCTTATTCCACTTCAAATACTGAGATACCTCATGCGATCTCTGTCACTGAAGAATTGGAGCCAGTGAATGAAGGCAGTGGTATCAGCGAAGCTTATGAGGGAACGACCATTGCCGGACATCTTACACAGCAGGTCACTTCGCAAGGCCTGAATTCCACCACAGCGGAACCTCTGGCAAACGAAATTGAAGAACTTTTACTGGTAATAGGACCATCGGAAGAGAAAGCTCTGATGAAGATCATGGAAGGTTTAGGTGTATCTTCTGAAGCTACGGACGTGACAGGTAGTCTTAGCAAGGAAAGTGGAACTACTCCAGAGGTAGCGGATAACTCAGTTGACAATACTACCATCACTCCCATCAGCGCCACAACCGAATTTGTCACAAGTGAAGTACCAAACGAAACAAGCTCCACTACGATTGTTTCTACCCCTTCAGACTTTCCAGAATTAGAAAATAGAACCAGTTCCGCTTCAAAGGCGGCGATGCTCACAACTACTTCTGTAGAAAGCTTGACCACTCCTTCCACCAACACCGTTACGTTAAATGTCAACACAATTTCTAACAGAGTAAACGTTAATGATGTGCCACAAACCTTACTTCCATCCACAACAATGGAGCATTTCAACCCGCTGAATGAGGATAAACCTCAAGGTGTTGGTCTATCAATCAAGAAGTCCTCTCCGCTTGGAAAGAAGTTATTGGCGACAAGAAAGGGCGTCAAAGAGGAAGAAATCGAAGCTCTCATTCCAATCAATGGAAAAGCGTTAAGTATATCGCCACAAAAATTGCCTTTGCAGGACGAAAAAACACAAAAATCAGAGAAACAGACGATTAACATTCCAGCTGAAACTTCCACTGCTAGCAATCCCAAGAAAGAAAGGATTATAGCAAACAGAAAGCCTAGCCGGAAGCAGTCGTCCCATGACGCTGCAAATGCGAATAAAGTGGACGTCGCAAAAACTGAGACAAAGAAAAAGAATGCTGTTCATGGAAAATCGAAGAGAAGGCTCATCTTCAAGCCAGAAATTCATTGGAGATCTTCTGCAAGAAGTGGCCCCAAGGTCATAACAGAAAATGTAAGGACTAGCCTTCAAGTAGCAGATACCAAGAGGAACAAATCGAATAATATTCCAAAGAAGTTTTCAACAAAAGCACAACGTCTAGGAACATCCAAAAGAAAGATCAAGGCGAAGAAATCAGATTTCGTTCTGAAAAGACAATCGCTCATGATTCCAATTAAGTTTAGTCCTTCAACGGCATCTGCTCAGCGCCATATTGTAGAGTCAAATCGAACTTCAACGTCATCAAATACGACTCCCGTAAAGGAAGCAAGTAAACGCAAAGGGCTTGAGGGTGTAAAAACAGCTCGATTTGGGCGACGAAATCTTGAGCCGAGGCAAGGAGTTGCGAAAAACCCTCCATTGATGGTGAAAAATGGTGTAGTGCAGCGGTTTACAGTAGAAGAAACACCAAAAAACGCATCTGTAGTTTTACGAGATCAGTTGGCACCATTGCTAGAAAGCCATCAGCTCTCTCAGCAACTGCTGACGCTGCTCAGATATCTGGCTTCGTCGATGGATCCTAAGAAAAACGAGCACTCAACGCAAGCGAATGAGACTGCAAAGGAAAAAACGCAAAATCGAGAGCAGGTTCAAGTAAAAATGAGGCAGTTTGGACGCATAATAAGGGGGAAGTTGAGGCAAGGAAAGCGAGGTGTATCTCCGTCCCAAACGGCATCGAAAAATTCAAATTTTTCGGAAAGGCGCAAGGGATCTCTGGCAAGGCAATCGTCAGCATTCCAAGGGCGAAGTAATCCACAGAAGAACCTAGGGGCACCAATTGCAAAGCAAAATATACTGTCAAATTCGCGACGAGAACATGTTAGAAGATCAGGTGTGACACCGCCTCAGAATCCTAAAAAGGATGCCATAGCGAAAGCAAGCAATGCCAAAGCATCCACAAAAAGCCCATCAACAGAAAGTCAAACTTCCCCAAGTAAGAGGAACCCAGCACATAAAGCACTACGCGCACCCAACTCTGTCACAACCACGCACTTGCATCGTAACCGCAGGTCGGTAGTTTGAGATATATTGGCCAGACCTTGAAGGCAGAGTTCAGCAAATTTGGGTACATGTGTTTCTATGAGGGAGCTGTGACCAAGAAAATCAACCACGAAGCACTCCAGCCCGACCGTAATTTCTACCGTATTCGACAGCGCTGATTTGTCCGCCGGCATACGGTGTGGGCTGGAGTTTAAAAACGAATTCTGTGTCACGAGCTACAAGTTATAAGTAAAAATGTCGCTACTGCGATGGCGTCGAAATCATACAATACGATTTCCACATAGAAAATGCATGTACTCAGACTCGTTGAGCACTGCCTTTTAGAATCAGGGCCCGGCACGAGGTGGGCAAATGACAAGCTGGAAATCGTTTTGGGGCCAAAAAGCAAAGGGGATATCGTTTTTGCGGGATCCGGGGCCGAGCCCCGGAAGAAGATTCTAACTGCAAGCAAAAGAAGGTCGAATCATGCTTAACTTATACATCTAATTCATCGGAAAATAGTTGTCATACACCTCAACGCACAGCAGACTTCGCGCGCATTACGCCGCGTTGCCGCTAATTGCCGCGTGCACCACATCGCATGAGCGATGCCGTTGAACAGCATGATTACATGATCAGTTCTCAATGCAGGCGTAATGATATAGCACCAAATTACGTAAGCGAACAAAGAGAGGCTAGTAGAAACAAAGCATGAAATGTTATGAAAAACTTATGTGAATGGGAGGTTTTTAATAAGCATTTTATCCAAAAATTTCGCAAAACTGGTAAATGAAGAGTGAATTCAAATGGCTCGTTTGCAGCGCACAGATGACCATATGGTATGAAACTTGGTAGGTACATGAAAACGGACGGGCCTGCAGGGTTTATCTTAGAAGTTTCATTGGAAAATTATGTGAATGAAGGTTGTGGCAAGCTTTTTTCTGAGAATTTTCCACTATCAAGAAAATGGAAAAGTGGCTCGTTTACAGCGCAGAGAAAACGAAATCGCGCGAGACTTGGTGTGTATACGCGAAGTAGGACTAAGGAACAACGTGTGAAAAATCATGAAAAACTTATGTGAATGAAGAGCGTGCTTAACTTTTTTCCAAATTAGGTGGGCGATTACCCACCTAATGCCCACCTAAGGTGGGCAAAACTTTCAATTCACATAATTTTTTCAAAATTTTTACAGATATCTGTTATTCACCTAAAGTTTACTATATGGTGAGATTTTGGTTAAGAAACTCCTCCTCTTGTCTTTGTTAGAGCCCAAAATCGCATCAGCAGCCTAGCTTTCTAGGATGGAAAGCGCACCCCAGTCAATCCATTACGCGCGGGAACGGCGTCTCCAGTCCAGGGCCCGGCACGCGTTGGTTTGGAGGTTTTTAGGAAACGAAGTCCCCCATGCCTTCCGAAAATTTACGAAGTCCCTCTCGATGTGAAAATCAGTAGGGAAACCCTTATTCAGCCAAAATAGCAAAAAAAGCGAAAAATTTGAGGTATGTAATATAACAAAAAAGCAAAAAGAAAACATTTCGAGTCGATTAAAGGCTCTGCCATTGGGTATAGCACCATTTTGATGCTGGGAATGTCGAAAATCTCCTAGGCCAACCAAATCTGTAGCCTCAACAATCCTGCGATGCATTTTTCGCCAAATATTTCAAAGGACACCGCAAGTGATTGGAGCGCGATATCTATCAACGTAGAATTATACTACTTTTGACTCAAAAAAGGGGAGAGGCAACGGTTTGATCCGCTCTCTTCACTATATGATAGATTTTTGACCGTTCTAATCGTCCAAATCAAAAATGTCCAGAACTTATGTGAACTCTCCGATATATATGCTCCGAACCAACCCAGTTGGTTTGGTAGTTGGTCTAGAAACCAACAAATCCGAGAACGGATATTAGGACACATAAGTTTTGGGAACTTTTTACATAACATAGTTTGGAGTAATATTGTATACACTAGTCCAGATTCGGATCCATGTGATTGTTTGTGCGCTGTAAACAAGCCATTTGTTTGTTTGAGTCTTGCATTTGCAAATCGCGCGCTTGCGAAGGAACACGTTTAACTCGTGAAACCTGACATGTTCGTCGTGTTTTTTTTGGCGATTCCTCCTTTATCTCATAAAAACGATGTCCCCGTTGCTTCTAACTCCAAAAACGAGGTCCAGTTTGACCCCAAACCATCGGTGCCGGGCCCTGCTCCAGTCCTATGACTGCGTTCCTTTGATATTTTTTCATTCCTTCATCATTTTCCTTGGTTATTCTTCTTCCTGTTGTCTATCTTGATACAGGTGAGGAGTAACTAGAGGAATTTGAGCATTTTGGGCGCTTTTGAGCGCTCTTAGGCGAAGTGTGGTCGGTGCTCTCGTTCCACAAGCACAAAGCGTTATTTTTGGGCTCAAGGGAGTATTCGTAAAAACCACTGGGATCAAAGGGGAATTCGTTTTGGAAAACCCCGTCTGCCCACCCCGTGCCGGGCCCTGTTTAGAATTCAAAATTTATATTTGCTTTTGCACAAGAAAAGTTTGTTTATCAAATGCTTTTTCCTATGAGCTTGTCAAATGAACGCGCTTTAGTAGTAGTCACTGCAATGCTCAAGTGCTTTCGGTGCTGGTTGCGGTAGGAATACTGTAGATTCACAAAGGTTCTCTAGTTTTGTAATGCATAGTGTACCTTTTGCCCTAAAATCTGGCACAAGGCCCACAAATAAACCCATTCAAAGATATGTCCGATACGGATAAGTCCGCTTTGGATTTTCATCCAAGAATGGGGTAATCATGATGAAGAGAAGGACTTATCTGTAAGTGGATTTTAACTGAAAGGTTAATCTGGGTCGAAAAAGCGGCTTCATCTGCCGGATTTTAGGGTACACTATTTTCATCTGACTACTTCTGTTGCACCTAATGCACTTTTCAACCGTTCTAGGAGAAGATTCAGATTTCATTCCCCTCTACAAGTTTTGCATTTCTTAAGCGGGTACAAGCTATATTTTACAGAATAAAGACAACCTCATCTACCACAAGTACATCAACAACCACTCAAACGACTACCGTATCTACCACTACAGCTGAGACTAAAACCACAGAAAAGCCTACGACAACCACCTCGCTACCATCCACCACGGCTACGACCCAGCCTGTCACTTCAACAACGACGGTAACTCAGACACCAGCGACGGTAAGTGAAACTAGCATTGGACCGTTTTTTTAACCTGGAAGTGTCCTTTTCTTGCTAGAGACCTACAATGTTTTAGACAACCACATCTAGCACAAGCTCTTCTACGACAACCACAACTGCCACAAGAGCTTCCTTGAACCGATCGCCCATCATACAAACGGCTGCTCCACCAGCTCCTCCGCCAACAAAGTGGATTACCAGTACTACGAAATATTTGAGATGATCAATATTCCGATTTTCAGACCTGAGGAGCCCAAAAAGCCGGTGAAGGGTGCTATCTCATTTGACATCTTCCATAATGGTCAACCTGTTGAAGCAGTTGTAGTAGGAACAAAAATTACCCTGTCATTTGCGCCCCTTTACGCTATACCACGTAGGTCACTAAAAATTTGCGCTGTAGCTTGGCCTGAGGTGAAATTTTTCCTCAGCTGAGTATATGTCGGTTCGCGAGTGCCAAGTGGAGCCGATTGACAGCAAATACGAATGGGAGCGAGAACCGCTGCCAATCATTCGAGATGGATGCCAAGCCGATCTTGTAGGACTGGTTTGTCCACCAAAACAGTCAGAGTTTGGAGTGAAGGTTGGAAAATAAATTTTCTTTCTTTTTTATTTGGATCTCATATTTATTGCTTGAGGTCACAGTGGAATCGTTCCGCTATCAAAGTACTCCACATGTGCAGTACTCCTGCTTGATACGAGTTTGTCCGTTCGCCCCTTGCCCACTGGTAAGGTCTCACCACCTTGCTTACTCTATGGCAAATACATGATTATTTCTCCCATAGGCAAACTGCCCAGCTGTCGAAGGCTGTCCAAGAGATAAACGTTCCGCCCGGAGTTTGAGCTTGGAGGAGATTCGACGTGCCTTAGAAGCTGATCCAAAGCTGGCCAGTCAAATAGGACTCTCTCCACATGCGCTGGCCAGTAGACCTGGACACAGCGGTAATAAAACATTTTTTCTCTTTATTCATAAAATTTTCCTCCTATTCTTCCTTTTTTCTTGATATTCTTCAAAATTTCAAAAAATTTTCCATCAATTTTCTATGTTTAGTCGAGAGTCAACTCATGGCACTGGGTGGTGACCACACTGTTAAACGTCGCCTTGTCGTGGTAAATTCGGAGGATCAGCTCAGATACTACGTCCGAACTGGTGATGTGTCATAGAGTAACCTACTGATATGATTTCACCATCTTCACTTGATTAAAAAAAACCTCTATTGGGTATGTTGAACGTTTGATCTGCGATATCTATGGCCTCTTGTTTTGGTCGAATTTTCTGATGCTTAATAATGACAATTCTTATTGTATGTACATATCCGATTGTGCCACTTTGTTTTTTGAATGAATATTTTCTTTTTGAAATGCGGCTGCGGAGTGGCGTTGTGACTTTTACAGTGCGGATTTCAAATATCAACACATTCACGACAATACGATCCACCGGTGGGTCGTAAGATCCCTGAAGCTCTAGCTTTGCCAGTATACGATGGAATTCTGCAGGGTTTTGGCACATGATTGGGGACACCTCGGCGAAGCTCCAGCCAGAATGGTCCGGGTTCGGGATATTGTAATGTAATGTTACGGTAGATATACCGTAGACTGAGGTAAGGCATAGACTTTAGCTCAAATTTCTCGCAGAGTGGTGCTGTCTTTGAAAATTCAAGTTTACATGCGCGAGAAATACAGGAAGGGCACGAAACTGATGTCAGTCCATTAAAAATTATCGATTTTATTGATTTTATTGATTTTTCGCATTGTTCATCCTAGGAAGCTCAAATCTTAAATATAAAAGTTTTTTAGCATGCTGATTACGAAAATGATATTCTCAAGTTCTAATGCCGCCTTCTTACAGCAGCTTTTTGATTCTTAAGAAAAACCTACCGTACTGCTACCGTAGTCCCACTGTGGTAAAGTAGTGGACAAAGTGGACATAATAATCGTGATCAGCATGCGAATTAACCACACAACTATTTTTCATGAAAATCCATGATGTTAGGCTCGTACAGAATGACTACCGTAACCCTACCGTATACTGCCAAAAACTGAAATAAATCATATTCTGGTAAACAGCGCCTTCGATAACCTTTTGGGGAAATTCTTGGAGACTGTTTTGAATTTCTTTCAAAAAGATTACCATTTCGGACAATACGACCCACGGGTGGGTCGCAAATTTGACAAAGCGAAAATGGCTCTGGTCCGAAACGGCACAATCGAAAAATCGGCCTTGTCGTGAGTGTGTTAAATGCACCGTTCACCCAAATTAGGATTGGTGAGATCTGACTTGATAGAGGGACCCTTCATTAAGTGAATTCCCAAGTCCCGCTGAAGATGAGATTCGAAGCCGAGTGGTGGATGGTCCGAAGATAAAACGCCCAAAATCAGCCCTAATGTATTTAAAATTTCATAAACCCGTACCTCATTATAATTATCAGAATTTCGACATTTGTGTCAACCTTAAAGCCCGCTTTCAAGCTCATTATCTTCCGAACACCCATGTTGATGGGCGGAGGCACTTATGCCGCTTCTACCTTCTGAAGCGATTTTCGCTTTGGAATTCATCTTTTGCAGTGGAAATTGGGCCATTACCTAATCAGGGAGCAGTACAGCTATTGTACAGCGTCAAAAATTCAGCTTCATTGGGTGGACGGTGCCTCCAAATAGCAAATGGCCTATAATATAGCTTGCTTGAAAGTAGAAGGAAAGCATGTCAGAGGTCTTTGGCAGAAGAAAAAAAAAGAGACGGATGAGGCATAAACCATGAAAGGCATGAAGGAAAGAATCAAACTGTGCACGAGCTTTGAAGACTTACATGATTATATCTGTCAGTTACATGGGATTACTTCATTGGGGCAACATTTATCGATCTCCGATCTCTAGTAGAGCTCTGTTATACCATTACAAAGAAGTCCCGTTCGGAGGGCTGTTTCTGATGGTTATGTAGAGCAAGAGATTGATAAATACGCCCCTGGTGATGGCTCCCAAAGCAGCCTCAACGTCGTAAGAAAATCTTCTTGCAGACCGCGCGCAACACGGTACCCAAAAAAATTAAGGGCGTAAAGTAGGTTTGAAGAGTGTGCGGCAGGGAACTGAGATTGACTACGGCAGGTAGCTGAAGATGGCTATGGCATACTGTAGCTACATTACAAAATGGCCCCTCCCCATGGCAGCCTTTTTATTAGCGCAATACGATGCCATTCCCCCCACAAATTACCAAACCAGCAGAGAAATGCCTGTCAGAATGCGAAACCTTATCAAAGTGACGTGGACGAGCTCCGCCGCTCCTTTTGGGCCCCCTCTGTGGACTACTGGTCCTTGAATTATGCAACAGCATCGCAAAATAACCATCCGTCTTTTTGTAATTCTCCTTTCATTGCAGCTGTTTCTAAACTCTATCAACAATTCATTTCATCATATGAATCAGCTGTACATACATTGTACAGTTTTGCTAATAGCTTTGCCTGGTGTTTTAGAAATGTACGGTCGCGCTGTCCTTATTAACCATCACACATTAATCATTTCCTCAATGTTTCTATAAGTAGCTTATTCAAGCCCATCAAGCCCTGCATGGAGAATTTTAATGAGCATTCTTCGCTTCTCATGCGCTTTTCACTTGGCACCTATTCCGAACACAATCCACGGTGGCAGCTTAGAATGACCGTGGTCCTTTTCAATCCCCTACCACTTATCAAACATTCCGGGATGTAACATTGTAAATAAGTGCATTCATTTAGCAGAGTTCATTTTTGTATTTTAGTTCACAAGAAAGGCGCTGCTACTCACTAGTATTTGACGCTATAATCCAAAAACAATGGCAAATGACGGATTTCGCATTTTGATGTGTAGACCTACATACTTTAAAGTTAGTTTTTTGTCAATGCTTGATTGAACCTTTCAAATTTTGATCTATTCGCAAATAATCGAATATTCAGGTTTTTTATGCTATTAACCCATGGATGAGTATAAATAATCCAGTCGACGAACCCAAAGCTAAAAAACAGTGGGATTTACTAAAGAATACAATTGAAAAATGTGGAGCAAAGGTGGTCGTAATGGAGCCAGACGAGGTAGGGACTTGACGTTTTTGACATAGACCGCTTTGGGAGAGCCAGTAGACGGTTAGAGGCACGAAGGTGAACGGCCGCGCATACTTCAAGCTATTTTAGTCACGACGCGATTTGGCATTATTCCAGTCAACTCACTGTAATTACATTTTAAATGTACAGAAGATAGGGTAATCTATCAATCCACGAAAGTTATATACACTATACATGGGCAGTTTGCTAGTGTTGGATCTGAAGACCTCTGGCGAATTGCCAAATCGTGTCGCAATTGAAATCGCGTGAAGTATGCCCGGCCGGCCCTTGAAACGCCGACACGGTCGCAATGGCACACTGTTCCTGCGCGCGATGAATCGCTTGTAGCTCTTTCGCTAAACGAATAGCATTAGAAGCTTACATGGTTCTTGGTCTCCGCTTCAAAAATGAACCAAGGGGACGTCATAAACCCTAATTTCACGCGTATAAGCCGCACCTTTTTCGGTTTTTCAAACGTGCCGCTCAGCCGCCTGGTTGTGTTTCGGAAAACGAGACTTATGCCGCACGATACTCTCATGCAATATACAGCGCTGTATATAGTTTTTTGTCGTGAAGTCCTTCGGCCTGTCTGTGCTGTTCGATTCTGAAAAAAAATCCCCCGCGGCTTATACGCGTGAAATTAGGGTACAATAACGGCGATAAGATCGGTAGCGGTGTACAAACCCTGGAGTAACTTCTGCGGTACATATGTGATAGTAAACAAACGAAAAAAAGCCTCACGTTTCCTTAGAGTTCGACAACACTATTCATTCGAGTGCCCTGAGTCCTGTGATTCCTGCCATCAATACGATCTCTTTACCCTTGGAGCGCAGAAACTTCCACTTTCACAATGCCGGAGCAAATATGCGTACTCATTCCTAATTCGTCTGCGCTCGATAGGAGTTTCTGGCAGTGATCGGAAAGAAGATTTGCAAAATTTCGACTACAGGAAGGTAGTTCCTGCCCCCCCCCCCTCTTCCCTCGCCTCCATGGACAACGGAAGTTATAGGACTCGCACGGAGAATAGGGGCACTCGAAAAGAACGTGAGAGAAGCACCGAAGCGATTTAGATGCTTGACATTACCTTCTGGAAATTGAATGTCTACGTTTTATTTTGGCTGTCTTGAACATTCCAGACCGCAAAAGATCTTCCTGATATTGTTTTCACTGCAAATGCTGGTATTGTACGAGAGAAGAAAGTCTATCTTGCAAATTTCACAAATGAACAGCGTAAACCCGAATGGAAAATCAACGAAAAATGGTTCAAAGAAAACGGATTCACGACTTTTTTCAACCCAGAGCTTGCGCACGAAGGTAGTGATTCAGAGCAAATTCACCAATCATAAATATGAAAATAATTTAGGTACCGGTGATGCACTTTGGATCAATCAAGGAAAGGTGCTACTGGCTGGCATAGGCCCTCGATCGGATCCGCGGGCTCTGGACGATATAAAAAGCAAGCTGAGATCGGACGGCGACGATTTCATGATAGTGGCCGTGAAGCTAATTGATCCACGGTTTCTGCCATTCATCTTTATTTTTAATCCCCTTTACTCACTCCTTTTTGACGCCTAACATTTTCTCTTAGTTTGCCTTAGTCATTGTACTAGCTGCACAGATAACAGATAATACACTTTCCATCTGCGCCTAGAGCATTCCCGTTTTCTAGTTTTTTTCTCCCATTCAAGCATAACGAGTGCTTTCCAAAAAAGGCAATCGCTTGTACTTTTGAGTGTGATTGGCTCTCGATATTCAAGTTATGCGAGGCAATCAATGCCATAGGGAACCGGTTCACTCGATACCGTTTTTAGCCCATCAAAGACTTCTTTAGAGGATAAGTAAACGATGGAACAAAAGACATCTTAGGTTACGTCTACGATATAGGTGACCTACTAAAAAAACTGAATCATTACTGTAATTGAGATTAAGGTTTTTTATTGCAAAAATCAGCCTTGATAGGAAAAAGTAGAATTAGCTGAATCAAGCTTGGCAAAGGTCAAAATAGAGAAGTCAAATTCAGTTTTTACCATCTGGACACCTGCATATGTCCACTCACCGACAATCTTGCCATGTACTATCCCGGTGGATTCACGCCACTCGGTCAAAACAATCTCAAGAACTTTCTCGAACTCATACCGGTAAGGAGTCATGAACATCTAAGTGAAATCATGGGGTCTTTTTCCGGATAAGATTTCGGATACTTCAGGTGCCAGAATGTGATGCAAAGAAGTTTGCCTGCAATGCGGTGGTCATTGGCAAAAATGTGATCATGAATGAAGGTTGCGATACGATAGCTAAGGCAAGCGAAACTATTGAGTATTAGGTTGGTGCAAAAATTTTGTCAGTTTTTTCAATCCATCGGCAAATACGCTAGAATGAAGATAAACAAATATTTCGAAATATATCCGAAGAATTTCTTCCTCTTTCCAGCAGCTAAACTCACATTGTGTTTCTTTGAGAGAGATATTTGATGAGAGTGATGAAATATCTGCTGGAAATTGCAATTCGTTTTTACCGTGTCCAACTTTCACTAAGTTCCAAAATTTTTGGATGAGACTTTCGGAGGGGTTCCAATAACCACCAAATAGGGCAAACCTTTTGCCGACTTGTGCAAGTTTTTTCTTTTTTTTTTCAGCTGGTTTTTCAGATTTTTTCTAAGTAATTTTCTAAAAGACTTGTGCTTCGGGAAAATCGCATAACCTGTTATTGCACCAAACACTGCAAAACCTCCGGAATACTGAGGTTTCAACACTTGATTATTACTATCGACTTACAAAGTAAATGACCGATTTTCCCTTCAAATTATGAAGATTTTGAAACATAGGTTACGTCAGCGCGCACTCGTGAAACTAAGAAATACTGCGATTTTCCCCATAAATTTCGCCTGTCTCGGCAAAAAAGACAAGTATTAGAAGGAGGAGGAAAAGTTGCATCGAATGGTGAGTGAAGTGTTTAATATTTTATGTTCTACGAGGTTAAAATAAGCTGAATGTAAAATTTGGTTCCTTCAAAAAATAAATCGTAGAAATTTTAAAAGACAAGCCGTAGGGCTATAAAAAATTGCACTAGATGGCAAAAGGTTCGTCCTATCTGCTGGTTATTGGAGCTCCTCCTAAAGCCTCATAAAAAAATTTTGAAAATGAGCGAAAGTTGGGCATGGTAAAAACGAGTGGTTGCAATTTCCAGCAAATATCTCGTCACTCTCGCAAAGAAACACAATGTGAATTTAGCTGCTGGAAAGAGGAAGAAATTCTGCATCGGAAACATTTCGAAATATTTGTTTATCTTCATTCTAGCGTGTTTGCTGACGTATTTAAAAAACTAACAAAATTTTTGCACCAACCTAATATTTCAAATCGTCTCCCGTCAAATATTGCCAATTCGGATCATGAAAATCCTTGAAAAAAGAAGTTAAGTGCATTCAACAAGCCTATCCTATCAATAGAACCGTCAAGAGGCGAGACCCATTTGAGATGAAACGTTATTGAATATGACCAAATGGGCTCTCCTCATCAGAGATAAATGCTCGAGCTTTTGAAAGTTCCTGTTCCTGAAGAAAAGAAAAAATTTAAAGATATGTGGATCATAGTCAATGTGCAAGGCTTTCAAACTTTTCGTTTTTCAGATGGGGAAACAGTGAGTATTTGAGAGAAAACTTCTTTACATTATGGGAACATTCAAGGATAAAAAGCCTTTTAGGGTAAAAAATTGAACGGAAATTTGTATTGATCGAGTCTTACCTGTGATGAAAACTCCTATACCATGTTTCTGGATTAGTGTTCAGCAATAAAAATCCTTTATAGTGTTCTGGAATGTACATTGAGCAGATAAGATTGATTTCTTTATATGTGATTGAAAACTAGATTGCCGTTATCCCCAGCAAAATAGGGAAACTCGTAAGGAAACTCTTTGTATTTGGTTGGTGCAAAAGTTCTGTCGGTTTTTTCATCTAACGGCAAACACGCTAAATGAAGATAGACAAACGCTTTAAAGTGTATCCGATGCAGAATTTCTTTCTCTTTCCAGCAACTAAACTCCCATTGTGTTTCGTTGCAAGAGTGACGAGATATTTGCTGGAAATTGCAACCACTCGTTTTTACCATGCCCAGCTTTCGCTTATTTTCAAAATTTTGTATGAGACTTTAGAAGGAGCTTCAATAACCAGCAGATAGGAAGAACCTTTTGCCAACCAGTGCAATTTTTTATAGCCCTGCGGCTTGTCTTTCAGAATTTCTACGATTTATTTTTTGAAGTAACCAAATTTTACATTCAGCCTATTTTAACCTAGTAGAACATAAAATGTTAACCACTTCAGTCACCATTCGATGCAACTTTTTCTCCTCTTTCTAACACTTGTCTTTTTCCTCCGAGACAGGCGAAATTTGTGGGGAAATCGCAGTATTTCTTAGTTTCAGGAGTGCGCACTGACGTAATCTACGTTTCAAAATCTTCATAATTTGAAGGGAAAATCGGTCATTTACTTTGTAATGGTCGATAGTAATAATCAAGTGTTGAAACCTCAGTATTCCGGAGGTTTTGCAGTGTTTGGTGGAATAACAGGTTATGCGATTTTTAGAAAACACAACACTCTTAGAAAATTATTTGACAAAATCTGAAAAAGCAGCTAAAAAAAAGAAAAAAATTGCATAAGTTGGCAAAAGGTTTGCCCTATCTGGTGGTTATTAGAACTCCTCCGAAAGTCTCATCCAAAATTTTTGAAAATTAGTGAAATTTGGAAAGCGAATAGTTGCAATTTCCAGCAGATATCTCATCACTCTCGCAACGAAACACAATATGAGTTTAGCTACATTGCGAAATATTTGTTTATCTTCATTCTAGCGTGTTTGCCGACGGATTGAAAAAAATTGACAAAATTTCTGCAGCAACCTGATATTTGACAACCATTCCCAGAAATTTCGAAAAAACCAGCTACTCCAAATTCATAAGCTTTCACATTTCCCGTAAAGGTTAATGTTCGCCTCTTCTTTGTCACAGCGTCATTAAGAACCATAATTAACTTTATACTTATTTTTCCAGGAATTGGAAAGTCGTGGTTTCAAGGTACATTTCGTAGCCATGTCCGAATATCTCAAATCTGGAGGATCTTGCAAATGTTGCACATTACGACTTGACTTCGATTGGTACAAGAACAAATAAATTAATGCTATGGTTTTGCTGTTGTTGATTTCTTTCTCAAAGATTATAGTGAACACTCTAGATGGTATGAATAAGCATGGCCATCGTTGCAATAGCCATAATCTGCGGAAACTGTCAAAGCTTTTGCTAAAGCTAGTTTCGCTATGAATGTACAGTAGCGGTTGCCTTAGCGAGTAATAGTTTAACTATGCGCAAATCGTCCGAATTCCGGTCTTCTGCGTCGGTAATGGCCTGGCGAAGCCACATGTGTCCGTCATCAGACGAGCGCGGATTCCGAGGGCACGTCGGGACGCGCACTCTCAAGTGGCCATTGCATGCAGCGGTCGTCGTAGAAGAGCCGCTACTTCAGGTGACGTTCTTAATACACACGAAACCACTCAATTTGGTCTCGTCTGATCATCGCTGCGCTTATGGAGGACAGCGCCGCCGACGCAGCTGCCGCCACCGCCGCCGCAGGCGTCACCGTTGCGCTTCGCTCATCCGCGTTCAGCTGCAAAGCCATGAGGCTGCTTCTGCTGCTCCTCGCCGGTTACGGTAAGTCTGTGGAGCAATTTACTGTATATAGCGCGTTTGAACTACTTAAAAAGGCAGAAATTCCACTTTTTTCATCATCATGATAGCATCCGAACTACTTTCTAAAAGCGCTTCGAATAGCTGCCTGTCTAACCATCTCAAGAAATTCTGGTAGAAAAACAAGATTTGCCGCACCGATCCGTTCCTTTTTGAATTTGCGCGCATCATTTCTACTTTTGGAAAATGTTGTATCCGTGGATAGCGAAATCGGCAACATCCCCTCGTTTTACTTGCAAAAAATGTTAGAACCAGATTGTTGCGCGGTCTTGTAACGAGATTATGGGTTTTCTTCGTTCGTCATTGTTAGACAAGTGATTGAACTAATTGTCGAACAATTTAAGATGTATAAAAGCGAAGAAATCGCATCGGGAAATTGCATACTACCATCAGTTCGGCCTGGTCAGCTTCTGGTGGTTGCATAGGCTAGGTCGTTCACGTGAGGTTATGATCTATCCTGCATTCTGACATAGGGCCTCCACGCAGATAAATCCTTTTCAACATAGGTCCGATACGGATAAGGGCACTCTTCGCACATATCTTGAAAGATTTTAGGGTAATTATGGTGAGAAAAAGCACTTATGTTTAAAACTGTTCAGGACTTATGTCTCAACCGATTACGGTCTTTACTGGAAAAAAGCGGTAAATGCCAGATTTCGAGGTAGGCACGGAGAGAATTCTTTTCAATCTATCCAGACTCAAACACTGTAGGCTCCGTTGCCAAAGTATGATAATGACAAATTAGCGTAACTGCAAAGGCGACTTAAGATATCAAAAAATTAGCACAAAATACTCTCGTATGTTTGTAATGATATCGTATAACAATGGTGTTGCCCTTGAACTTCGGCAGGGAAACTCTGCTAACAAGCCAAGTTCAGATAATACGTGGTCTACCTCTGAGTTTACTAATCACTCGATCGAGGTACAAACATAATCATTAAGGTGTCATTAGTGGCTCTGAAACAGCGGAAGTTTCTCCATTTGGCGAGTGCTTAAGTCCATATCGCCCAATATTTTTGAGGATTCTTGGATCGCTAGATGTTGCAGGACGCTCTAAAATCAAGGCATTGCATTATTTTCCTATTCTTGCTTTTCATACGCCCATTTCTGCGTCTTCCAAGATCATGCCCATCTAGGCCGACATGCCAACTTGTGCTTCAAATTGTCGTCGTAATGTGGACCCGTCATCCGATGCACAGTTTCCGTGCCGTGGCTTCAATTTTCGACCTGGTAAAAATCCAGTGTGTGAGCTGATTAAGATGGGGAATGATACGGTAAGTAACCCGATAGAAGGTTTAGCTACTCAGTCAGGAGATTAGCTCTATTCTAAAGAACATGTGAGGCTAGAAGTTCAAGCTATATGGTCGTATAGGTTATTTCTTATGTTAGGTATGATAGTCTTTTCTTTGTGAGGTTTATCGCGAACTTGCTAAAAGTTTGAAGCATGCCTCTAAAAAGCTCGTGTGAAATCTCCTGGCCCTCAGCGAACACATGGAAGAGAGATTGCAGCTTAGCATTGCAGTGCAAAGTTAGAGTCCGTCTCAAGCACTTGGTACTCAACAGAGATTACGTTACGCAACGCAACGCGGCGCATCAGTTCGTGGTTTTTATCACCTAATAGCAGAACCCAAAAATAGAACCAGGTTACTTCAAAGTTTGTTACACAACGGAAAAAATCTTCACAATTGCCTCCAAGCTATTTTTCCTTATTTTCAGACTACGTAAAAGGTTGTGGATCTCGACACATACATGTCACACAAAAACAATTTTCGACCTTTTTGTAGTTTTTTGAATTATTTTTGGCAAATTTCCAACTACAGCTACAGCTTAGACTTCCAGACTGTTTTAGTGTTACTACTAATTCTTCCTAAAGTTCAAAAAATCCGAAAACATGGAAAAGAAGAATGAAAGAATTCTCAAAAATTGGAGAAAAAATGGAATTTGAGTAGCGTTAGAAAATTGCACTTATATTAACATTTTCGAAAGTTGCTAATCTGAAGCGGTGAATGCTCACATAGTTTGTAAATTTAGTGTCAAACCATAATCCATCTTTGTAAGTTTCAAAGTCCGAAGATCTATTGGTGTTTGATGCATTTGTGTCTGAGACGAGCCTGCTAAATTCGGGGTTCCATCAAAAAATCTATAAAAAAATTATGACCAGCTCTGGAAAGTAGAAAACAGTTGTGCTGTCTCCTGTAGGGCTTGCTCTATCCATCCATTACTTGGACTCCTATCGAGGGTTATTATAAAAATTTAGAAAAATTGTGAAACTTGGCCTTCTCAGAAAGCATGGGTCACAGATTTTGATAATTTTTTGAGAGGTTAGTAGATTTTGTGCACTGATTATATAACCATCAGAAAGAAAATGAAATGCTGCATCAAATGCTTCTAGAATCTCTTATATATCTTTGTTCCACAAGATGTGGCGTAAGTTTGAAAAAAGCGACATCGCTTTCGGAGCGACCTCATATTTACTGTGGATCGTGTCCACAAAGGCGAAAATAATGGCCATAGACAGACTTTCAAATTTTTCTGATATATCAGATTAATAGGACAGATATGAGACTTCCGAACGTCTAGAGTTTTCCACGGGAAGAGAGTGTAACAAACTTACGTAACAACCTTATACTGGATAGAAGAGGTGATAATGCAAAATGACGTAAAATACGTACGTTTGGAAAAATCGAGTTTTATATCAAAAGACTTCGATATCATATCAAAATAACAAAATAAACCAACGTGGTTCGTAAACGGTCCTTTGCACTTATTAATTACAAATTTTCTTTTGCACCATCTTTCGTATATTAACTTTTGCTTATGCCATGTCTTCCAGACAAATGAGCCAATCCAGACAAAGCAGTTATCGTTCTACTTCCAGAAGACCTGTTTTAGGTAATCATTACTTATCTTTCTACAACTTTTTGCTGTCTTCACATCAGTGTCAAGTTTTTCTTTTCTTTTTCTCTGCCCGTTTATCCCATTTGCGTTTAACTGCCCTCGATTGTTTTCTGCGATGTGAGTAGATGCTTTCTGGTTTTTATTAAATTGTTGCAATAGAACTAGTTAGGGCTGGTCTTGTCTACTTCCTCGTGGGCTATAGAATATGGTTTGGTAAAAAATGATAATTGTGGCTATAGTATTGAAAGCATAATCGAAGGGCTCGGATACTCATTGCAAAGAGGGGAATTTTTTTCTTAACGCCTCTAGCAAGAAGGAAAAATACAAGTAGTATGCTTTGAGAAATTTATGAAGGCAGCGTCCGGGGAAAATCTACGCTTTCTGATCAATACCTAATCTACAAGATAGTCCTAGGATTAGGATATCTGCGTTGGTCCAGTCCTTTAATGATCATAATGAAATAATTGGGCTAGAACCCGCTAAAATACTATCACACCACGCCCGCCCTATCAAGCTCCGCCCACCATAGTTTCGAAAGGCTTCTGTAGGGCTCTGAGTGATGGGATTTTTGGAGTTTTGCACTTTTTGCACTCCATATCTATAATCAGAAACATCGATAGGCTTCTGAATGACAAAAACATGGAAGACGAAGATTTGTAAGATTGCTGCCTTCATGATCTTTGTTTTCTATGTTGCTTTGTAAAAAAATCTCCACAATTTTTTTGGTGATGTCTACCTGCGCTGTTTCACGAAATAACCATGGTTTATATAAATGCTTTCCCATGCCTATATTTGAAACCGCTTAAGTGTATACGTTCGTGCGTGAAGAAGAGAATGTAGTAAGTGAAGTTTTAGAGTGCCTGCTCGGTGCGTTGAATCGGCTTTCGTGTTCGACGTCAGGCGCGGACACACTCTCAGATCCACTTCAGAATCCAGAACAGCTTACAGTGTCGAACAATGCGCCGATATCTGTTTGGCCGAAGAGTGCAAAGCTTTCGTTTGGGACGAAGCAAACGAGTAAGTGAAACTGTGAAGCATCGGGCGTTTTCACACTTCCCTATCAAAACAGGAAATGCCGATTCTTCAACACTGCGGATAGACAGGACTTGGAACGCGACGTCAATTTTACCTACTATGAGAACAACTGTCTTGGTCGTGAGTAATTCATGGATTTATTGAGCGAACATCTGTTTATATAACCCTTCTTAAGTACCGATTCATCCTCCCCCCCCCCAAGAAAAAAAACAAAATTAGAAGCTCTGAATACCCTTATTTCTGACAAAAACCATGGCTCAACTTTCACAACTCAAATCTGATGTGGGGACAAATCGTACCGGCATACTGGGAAGAAATGCATACATCAGGAGCGTCTACAAACGTTAATCTTGAATCTGCCTTCCATATCGGCGAAACATTTATCCAAAGAAGTCATGAGGGCTCCGAATCTGAATCTGCAGAGTTAGTTCGCGGATAATCGAAACGCTTAGAAACATTGCTTTAGACGCATCTGGATTTTACATTTCCTAATTTGTCGATGTGACATGAGTTATCGTCTATATAAGTAGTTTGGTTGGGTTTTTGTTCAAAGGATTTTTCTGGCAGGTTCTATCGAAATGAAGTTTTTGCGTAAAATAAGCGTTATCCACTTATAAAAGCCAAACCAGTGAAGAAAGTCAGAAAATTCTGCAAAAATAAGCGGAATATCACTGGTGATTGTCTATTTGATCTCTGTACTTTTTCGAACGTTTACGTACCAATTTGTGGACAATCGCACATTCAGGTTACAGTACTCAAGTTTTTTTCAAAACTTTACTCTAGAACGATGGGTAATTTGCAAGTTCATATTAATGGTGGAGGATATGTGTCTTTTGCTCATAAAAATTATTTCCAGCTCGATGTTGAATGTAATCTGCCTCGATTAATGGGCGTAATCGAGAAATTATACATAGTATTCCATACATTATTCAGCAAAGTAAAATATTTAATCCTAGCGTAAAATATGTGCAGAAGAGGGCATAGTGATACACCTATCTTATCACCTACCATGTCCGGCGCAAAATGATCCAAGAGGGTTTCAGCCTTGCTTCTCGAGTACCGAATGCTTCCATAACCAGGTGTATTTTTCAGCTGAATCACGTTGCCCGATTGGACGCGTGGAATTTCTTCTGGTCAAACATGCAGATGTTCCTTCTTTTGGTGTTTCTGTAGGCGTCAAAAGTATAAGAAACTGTATGAAGGAGTGTGTTGACACGACTTTGTTCCATTGCAGATCTTCGCAGGTGATCTACTATGTTTCCATACTATACATTGACTAAAAATGTGGATCATTTCAGTTCAATGCTGTGTCTAGCGAATGTTTTATATCGGACGAAAACTCTGATGTGGCTGTCGCTTCAGCGAATCTCGACTTATACGAAGCATTTTGTTCAACTGCGGCTGAGGGAGTAGCAAACTGTAATCGACCGTATTCCTATGAGAAGCTCATTACCTCACGACTTTCTGATACACCGAAGGTCCACGAGTTGAAAAGTAAATTTCGGCTTTAGCACTTTGGTTATGTAAATTGCGAGCACCAACAAATTCCGAAATCATCTTGGAACGATAAGTTACAGGATACTGCAGATTTATTTGAACCGTTGTTATTCTGAACGTTGACAAAGCTGATTCGAAAACTTGAAGACAGTTTTGATGAAATCTTAGGCTTATAAGGTACTGACTGTGGCATCCTAATTAATCTTGAGCAATTCTCAGAAGCGCTCATGTGCCCGAAAAATATAACTCTATGCTCTCACCCATACCGTATTCCTTCTGCGCGGGCCAATCAGCGTCCTTGTGGTGCCTGACCGTTCTAGTGAGAACTTGGAGATGGTTTTTTCGACCCAAAATGAATCAAGCAAGTGGCTGTTTAGAAAACAGCTTAGCCAAATCCTCCCCAGTTGCAAATGAAATCTAGGTTTAGAGTTCAGATTCAACTTGGAACTAGGTTTTCAAACAACGGCGATAAGTTGGGCTTCGGTGCTGAACTATAATTTTTTTTTGCAGACGCTACCGTAGATGCCTGTTTATCGGAATGCTCAAGCTCGATAAGGAAATGTCGATCAGTGAACTATGATGTCAGCACAAAAAGTTGTTTATTATTGTCTAAGGCTAGAAATGACGGCGCTGTGCTAGGTAATCTTTTCCGTTTCCGCAATTTCACAATGACTTCACTAATTTCAGTGCAAGATGATAAGTATGATTACTACGAACCCGCCTGCTTTGATGTCGACGAAAAAGCGAATGCACTTGCAAATCAAAGTTATACACTATTGGAAGCTAATCGCACACTTCGGCAAGAATATCGAAATGTTCAGCTTCTACAAACTGGGAACTTGTTCACTTGCTGGTTGGTTTTTCACAAACACCTTTCATGACTTCGACTTCGAAAAGTTACGAATTTTTGGACTTTAGTAAAAATAAAGTGCAATACGCATTTAGTTTTTACTCATAAGTAAAAGCAAAAAAGCATAGCGATTGCTTCTATCCAGAAATATGCATTTTCATAACTTCAATAATCTAAAAGAACCAAAGCCTACCTTATCTCGACGTATTAGCAGAGGATCACAAAAACTGATTATTCTTAGACCTTGGACATATTGGCCCGTAGTAGAGCTCGGTCACGGGAGATGATCTCCCCTGAGGCCCTCATATGAGGCTTTGTCGGGTGAGATGAGGACTGCCCACTTTCCGTGGTGTAAATATGCAAGGTCACCCTACAGGTGAGCTTCAAATGAAGCCCGGCAGGGAGATCAGCTCCCGGCCGAGTCATCGGAGATGAGCCGGGCGACGACATAAGGCAAATACTGTGCTAAAGAGGAGAACACAGAGAAAATCCCCGTAAGTTGCTCCCGAGTAACTTACGAAACATCGCAGATGACGCTCTTTTGCGGTGCAAAACTCCCAAAATTGCACAATTTCGGGCGCCTAAGTGAGTGAGGATCGATGAACAGCTGATCGCGCGACGAAATCGGAAAAAAGTTTTTTTTCTTGCAGTTGTTGCTTATTTTTCTTGAAAAAACCGCTTTAGATAACAAGAGGATAAATTTACTTTTCTACTCATTCTTCGCCAAGTGTGATTTTTACTGATATTATTCCAAAATACTGCGTATTTGTTTTATCCCGTTGCTCGCTTAGTGAAATCTCTGATAGCGGCTATCATCGATTTTTTCGACAGCGGCCGCTATCAAAGATCGCCAGGCCAAGTAGCAAAATTGTGCCGCTGCCGCGTTCGAACCACTGCCCTGCCGCTTGAAATGCATTAGTCTTATCCATTCGACTAGTAATGCCCAAACGGCAGGAACAGTAAGTGATCTACTCGAAATCAATCGCTCCCCTGGCAATGTGCTGAGGCGCGATGAGATCAACTCCGGTCTGCCTCAGGAGAGATGCCCTGATGGGGGTTTACTACGGGCCATTACCTCACGCGTTTTCAGTCGCCACGCGATTTGGCGGTGTTCCTAAAGTTATATTTGTTTTCAAAACATTTTGAATTTCTAAAATGCAGGCCATTTTATCAGCCTACAAGGGTTATACGAGCTGTGCTTTCGAATATTATCAATGCCGGATACAAAGGCATCTGGCAGATTGCCAAATCGCATGGTTACTGAATTCGCACGAAGTATGATCAAGGCGTTATGCTTGAATATTCCTTTTTGTGAACTGGACCAACTGCAATTCAGTCAAAATTGTGACAATAATGAACTAAAAATTCAACTCTGAATAATCTTAAGCTCTTGACAAACAAGAGACATGATTTAAAGATCCATTAATATTAGTAAATTCCAGGTCATTGTGTCAAAATGCAACGTCTTTTTTCTGCCATTCCTTTGCTTATTCTGCTACTCGGCTTGAATGCGTTGTATCATCAAAAAGAGTTATGCTCAATGAAAACTACGAGAAATTTACGCAGAAGAGCCCGATTTTTGACCTTTACATTCGGCTGGATATCTCTGAAAAAGGTTAGCTCCTTATCTAGCAAGTTTCTTTAAAAAAAGATGAATTAAGTTGCTGTTACGACAGCGAAGCCGAGAAGTGAAATTCCATTCCCCACGCTCATACACGATTCAGCGATAAGGCAAGCGTTGGCTGCTGATGATGAGAAGGTTTTTGATACGAGCAGTGCTCTCTTCAGTGAGAATAACGACATTGGTGAAGGCTCAAGCACCCTTGCACCAACTTCCCTAACAACCTTCACATCTGCTCGGGGTTTGGCCATTTTTTTCAGAAATGAATTTTGGCGACGAAGTCTAAACTTACCAACTTGTCAAGGGTCTACCGCTTCCGTCAAAATAGACTACTTCGGGAGATCTAGCCAATCGGATTCGAAATTCGATCCATTATTCAAGTTCAGGGAGCCGCTTGGACCGAATTCTTCTGATGAACTGAACTTGAAGTAAGACACTCTACCTTACAGAAGTTACCTTACTCAGAACTTGAGGCCTATTGTGAGAAGTGCTGTTCCAAGAAATTCCAGTGCGATCATCGCCGATCCCGAACTACAGCAGCTGTCTGATTACGAAGCCATTCCACGACTAGCTTTGCCTTCAGAGCGCATCGCTTTCGTCAACCCAGATAAAGTCAAAGTCAGCGCTGAATGTCATGACACGGGGATAAATGTGTCGTTTCACCTCGATGACGGTGAGGTAAGCACGACCTTTCATCTGTTGAAAGCACCTCCACCCAGATTGAGGATGTGGAGACTTTGTTGTCGCATAATAGCGGGACCTCTAACTAAATGCTCAAGTCCGCCTGCAAAAAGCAAATCCTAAATCGAGAAAATCCTTTCAGAAGGTAAAATCCGCTAAGGTGGCTCCGCCCATCAACGTGGGTCTAAAGAAGCCCATAATTATTGTCTTGAATCCGCCTTTCGTCATAATTCAAAGATCTTCGACGCTACCTACCCTGGAGCCCAACTTTGGACCTGTGGCCATCAGACCACCCACGTTGGGGCCATTTTCGCAGTCTCTACTTTCTGCAACGATTTTCTCGCTTCGGAATTCGTCTTCTGCAGCGGGATTTGAGCAATTACTTACAAGGGAATGGTCAGAAGTCGAAGTGGCCAATCCATACAAGCTGCATACCGTTCGATGCAGCATAGAATGCTGATTTCAAGTCTGTCTTTCGAATCTGCAGAGCGCCTTTGTAGCCGAAGTTATGAGCGGCTTTATTGCGAAAAAATCGTATACAAAAATCACGAAATTAGGCATTTTAGTGCTCTTTCAGCTCATTTCTAGGTATGGGTCATATGAAGTGGCCTAGTTGCATGTTTTTGGTCCAACACTGGGCCGAGAATGGCTTTGTACGGCCAAGTTCGCACTTTGTACGCACAATTTCTTAGCAAAATAATGGCCTTCAACGGCTTATAATTTCGTTCACAAAAGCGCTCTGCAGATAAGGAAGACAGATTTAGAGTCAGCATTTTATGCTGCACCCAATGTTATGCAGCTTGTGTGGAATGGCCACTTCGACTTCTGACCATCCCCTTGTTAGTTAGGAACCCCGCTATCACAAACTATAAAAATCCTAATTTTCTCAGTTTGGATGGACAATGCCTTAAGCATCAGTTAGCGTATTCCCTGCTTTCAGCAGTATACCGGTGCTGTATACGCGGCAGAACGATTCGAACAATGTCGAATATTTTTGCGATCATCGAGGAGTTTTGCAATATTTATCCCACGACCACAGCATAATACTTGGTGCAATGCATTGGAGATTGTAAATTTTCGCACCTTAGTTGAACTCAGTTGTCTAAAATAATTTCGAAACATTTAGGACAAGGTGGTGTCAGCAGTGATCGTGATGTCGAACGATCGAGTACTGCCACATGATGTTACAACAAAGGATGATCTCTTCTTCCATGTTACTTGCAATTATTCAACACCTATATTGGACAAAATTCGGCATGGAATCGTTGTGGGGTGAGTTCAATGAATAAGAAACTTAGGCATCTAATAGAGACCGGTGAATTGCCCCAATAGATGAGCAGCTACAAGGAGGTCAAACCTTCTCCCCTAACGTGCTTGTGATGTCATTTTGAAAACGATAAAGGAAGATTATTAACACCTCCATGGAGTATACTATAGTTGGCAGCTTGTGCGCAAGATACTGTGACTGCTTATATTATTAGGTTGTCCCGAAAGTTCGTCGTTTCATATTACTATAACCGGAAATATTTGGTTATTTGTGAAAAGTGACAGGTTTTCCCTTTCGAAGGCTGAGTTAGCGAGAAGAAAATTTATAAAATACTTTACCTAATTTAGAATTAGAGGTATATTTTAACGTAGGTTTCAAGCGGGGCTAATAAGCAAGTTATTTTCAAAATTAAAGGCATACGGAGCATAATGGAGAGTCATGCGGTGCAGGCTTATCCACTAAGATCTTACGGGTGTTTAAAAATGTTGCGAAAATTCTGGTTTTAAAATTGCTGTACTAAACATTATACTTTGAAGGTGAGACATTCAAATATAATGTTCTACTTTAGACTTAAAACCATTTTGAATTTTTACGTGAAGAACATCTGATAAAAAAATATCAGATTTCACTGACCATAGTTTCAGTGGTCCCTCTCCTGTATCTATCACATCAAAAGAGCTACATCGTCATGTATATTTGCAAATCATGAAAAAAGGACGGCCTGTGGATAGCGTTTTTATCGGTGAAGCCCTCATTGCCAGAGTTGAAAGCGACATTCCACGTATGTTCGACTTAATTGTTCTAAAAAATACATATCACATAGCTTTTGATTTATAAGAGCCTTGAATGATTCAGATTCATTGCTCCAGAGGTAAAATTAATCATTCTTTCTCAATAGTGCTAATAGAATCTTGCAGCTGAGCGACTTCGAGTCATGGAATGTACAGCACATCGAGTTGGAGGAACTGGAGCACCCACTTCTGTTAGCCTCATCACCGATGGGTAAAGCGCAGTCTAGTTTCTTTATTACTTTGACTTCATGATAAATTCTATAGTTGCGCCCTTCTTCCTTCCTTGATGGCACCAATGAAAGTGGGGCCAAATGGCTGGGAATCGGCATTATCAGCTTTTCGTATAGATGGAAGTGAACAGATTGATATCGTCTGTTTGGTGGCAGTCTGTCCAGATGACGCCTGTCCCAACGTTAGCGTTGGTTTGATTTTTTTATAGTTCAAAAAATTGACTTGACACTAGCGTTGATACTCTGAGGTCCTGATCACTGAAAAAAAAATTTATATTTAGATGACTTGTCCTCCGAACAAGGATCGACGGTCCCGCTCTCTTGCCGAGAAGCATCCAATTCGAGTTGACCATCGTTTGATTGTGAAGGCCAGAGCTGCTGACAGCTTCCAAAAAGACAGCAGAACGTTTCCTGGTGGGGCCACCTTACCGTGACAGTGTCCCTACTGTATGATCGTGGTTGATTACAGAAGTATGCCTGCAACCAACAGTATACCTCTCCGGCCTTACTTTGCTCGCCCTATCCCTGGCAGCTTTGGCCGTGTCTCTGTGTGTAGGAGCGAAGCGAAGAAGTGATTCAGTGGAAGACCTCCTATCTATATCACAGTAGGTCCTTGGATATAATCAGCTCAATTTTTCTGTTTTTTCTGCTTTTAGGATCTCCACACAACAGAAGAACGTCGGCGCAAAATACGTAAAGACCTTGTCGTTGTGACAGCTTTGAAAGCTGTTATTTAGTAGAAGTATGTACATATTGTAGAAAACTATTATATTTCTAAGATTTTTTTGGATAAAGTAATTCGATATGACTGCTTCACAATCATGAAAGCTACCTATAATATTAGGTTATCCCGAAAGTTCTGTCGTTTCATTTTTAAAATTTTGTAACTTTTTGCTGGCTCAACGGATTTGCTTCCCTCTAACTTCTTTGAAAAGAAGAAACCTTCTTTGTAATAGTACCTTGACTAGCTTGAACTATACATTCATTGTAGAGATAAAAATGGAAGAAGAAGACCACTTGAGCTTTGACCATTTTAAGTTAGGCGTCAAAAGTCTGGAACGTTGCAAAAAAATCTGGAAAACTGTCAGTACATGAGTTTTATGACCTACCCTTTGCATCGGAGAAAAAATGCTGTTTGGATGTTTCAATGAAAAGTTTTGATTTTCGAGTTTACAACAGAAAACGCCAAAATTGATTAATTTGTCACTTTTCTCGAAATTCATAACTTTTCACTGAAACGCCCAAAGAACATTTTTTTCTCGGATGTATAGAGTAAGTCATAAAACTTATGTGCTGGCAATTTCAGATTTTTTTGCAGCGTTTCAGACTTTTGGCAACCTAACATAAAATGTTCGAAGCTCAAGCGGTCTTCTTCTTCCATTTTTATCTCTACAATGAATGTATTGTTCAAGCTAGTCAAGGTACAATTACAAAGAAGGAGATTTCTTCTTTTCAAGGAAATTAGAGGGAAGCAAATCCGTTGAGCCAGCAAAAAGTTACAAATTTTCCAAAATGAAACTACAGAACTTTCGGGACAACCTAATACATAGTGCTTTTCTAAATACGTTAGATAAATGGTAATTATCGTGCTCAGCAACGGCTATCACGTACGCAAAAAGCACGGTGAAATAGCTCGAGAAAATTGCGACTTTGAAATTTTCATTCTCCTTGGCTTTCTGGATTCGCTGAATCCTTGTGTATGCTTAGAAACTCTCGGAAGCTGTTAGAAAGTCTTTCTAAGGCGTTTTTCGGCCTTGGAGATTGCTGAAGGGGCGGGCGGCTGGACGAGCGATTCCCGCGAATTGAGGCGCGATTGGCTGTCTGTGCTAATCGGCCAATTGCCACCAAAATGTGTGGGGTTACGGTTTCCTGCAGCCAGTCGCCGTTTATGGTGGGAAACCTCATCCAGCCCCTTCAGCAATCTCTAAAGACGTAAAACTCCATAAGAACTTATTTTCACAGCTTCGAGAGATTATAACCACAGTACTGAACTCAGCTCATCCAGAAGGCCTAGGAGGGTGTGGAAAGCCCACAGTCACAATTTTCCCGAGCTACTGCCTCTTAAGCCTCCTCTACAGTACTCTCATAAGAATCCACATACACGGAGTGACGCCTTTAAGCTTCTGTACTCATCACAAATGAGCGAACAAAACCATGCTTGATTGTGCTCACCACAAACCGCCACGTAGTATCCTATCATATACAAACCTTTGTTTGAGTGAAAGAGCAGAGTCGCTTTTTTTAAAAAGCAATATCAACGCTTCGACGCTCCATTTTGTATGAAATGAACATATGAATAGGGTACATTTACAATTTAATAACCCGATGTTGCGTTGGATTTTGCCTTAAAATCGTTTCGTAAACAATTCCCGCTAATCGTTTTTCAGCTTCAAAAGCTTTACGATTTGAGCAAGAAAAAATTGTCGTGTTGGAGCGACTTTTGAACAGCAGCATGTAGATATGGCCGCTATCACTAGAGAAATTCTGGGCTATTTGTGGAAATGGAAGCGTTATGCAAGCTATAAAAAAACATCCGCTCACTGAACGTATGAGCATATGAACGATGTCGATTGCTTTGCATGCTAACGAAGCCAAAAACCTGCGATTGCCCTTAAACTCATTTTCGGATCTCACTTTTAGCCTTTCCATTGGCTTGTGACTGCAGCTTTTGAGAATTTTTTATGATTCACCAAAATATGTGTGCAGAAAACCAACCAAAAAAATCCACAATGGAGTGGGCGAGGTCTGACAAGGGAGGTGTTTTCGGTCGAAGTGGCCTTTCACATGAAATTGATACGACCTATAAAGAGCATCAAACGCTGATTCCAAATCTGTCTTCATTATCTGTCGAGCGCCTCTAGACGTCGAGTTATGAGCGTTTTTTGAGTTGAGAAATTAAATGCATAATTAGGACAATATTCGTCAGATTTGCTCAAATGGTCCAATGTTGATTATCAAAGCACTTTATTTAGACAATACCTTCTATCTAAAGCACTCATACTTAACACTGCTCTACTTGAGCGCTGAGAAGACGGTAAAATTTTATTTTACTTAGATTATGCGTTCATTTTTCGTACCAAGAAAATATTCATAACTAGACGTCTAGAGGCGCTCGGCAGATAGCGAAGACAGATTTGGAATCAGCGTTTGATGCTCTTTATAGCCATATCAAATTCATGTGAAAAGGCCACTTCGACCGAAAACACCTTCCTTGTGAGTGTCTAACTCCATATATTGGGACTTGAAATAACTATGCAATCATTCTCTGTCTCAAGGTAATGTCACATACTGGAGCGGTCGCAACGCGGACGCCTAGCTTTTTTGCGGTGACAACAATTATGAGCAGACAAAAGCAATATGCGCACTACGGCCACTTTTAGGCCGCTTCGCAAACAAATTCTCGGCATACACAAACAGATATTTGTTCTTTCTTTGGCGCAAATGTTGTCTTCACCGCGGGCCAATACATAACCGTCGAACCTCCGATTCTCTACAAATTACGAAATTATTAACTCTACACTCTGCGCCAATCCGTGTGAGGCAAAGAGTGATATAATGCACTCGGATCGCCGTTTATCTGCGCGTCATTTCTTCGGTCCACTATAGGGGTTCTTGTTAGGACTTCCTGTTCTACAACTCTCTTTGCGTGCAATTATGCTTGAGGAGTAGACTTTTAGCACTGCAATCGTGATCAAGCCAAAGTTTTGGCCTAATCCCATTCCAGAAAAAGTGTAGAACAAATGGGTGCATGAAAGAGAGCAACTTTTTCTGCATAGGGCGGCAGCTGGCATCCACTGACAAGACATCTCCTTCGATTGATACAGTTTTCAAAACTCCACTAATTCTACCAAAATCGAGATTGTTGGATAATGGAGCGATGTTAGAGCTCTTTTATTCATTGCACCAGAACCCGAAATGCCATTAAAAATGCCGCCTTGACGGGAAGCGCGCTCCAATCAAACAAGGTATTGTATCCGGCTCTAAAAAAATCGTAAAATCTTGTAGCAGAAAGCAACTTTGTTTCAATAGTCCCTCACGTGATATTCATTCATAATAGGCAAAGCCAACCTTTTTTATCTTGCTTCAACAACTCCCAGGTATAGCCGATAGTAGAGTCCATTTTTTACTTGAAGGTTAGCGTAATTAAGTAAGTTTCATAGTTATTTCATTGCTGAAAAGGAAGACAGGGAGTTTAAGAAAAAAGCTGCTCCCGACAAAAGCTGATTTTTAGGAAAAATCGAGAAAATCTAAAACATATATATACTGTGTTAACAACAAACATCAGAGTCCTGACGTGCCAGTTTTAATAATAAGCATTAGTTTGTCAATGGTAATTCATTTGCGGTATTTTACGGACACTGTATGAGCAGAGGTGCGATAGGTGGAGCCGGGCCCCCCAAAAGTGAAGGTGGTTCCACCTACCACTGACCGGCCAAAAGTGAAGGTGGTAGTGCCGGACACTCACCTCCCAAAAACGTCGACGGGGGGGGGGGGGGGGTAACGTCGACTGAGCCTATCCTTCCAGGTCGTTGCCGCCAGTGCGCGGAATATAAGCAAAACAAACGCAAAAAAGATCATTGAAGGCATATTTTTAGGAACACGGCGGCATATTTATTTAAAATAAACGTGTTTAATAAAGGGTGTATTTGGAAGTAAAAGATAGCGGGACTGTACGGATTTTATTAAGTAAATTTTGTCATAACGTACTACAAACAAAGTAGGTCGATCCAGGGAATAACCGCCGAGAACCAGAATTTCGAATGATAAAATAATGAAAAATCATGCGATGATTCCATTGTTATAAACCTGCTGGTTGAAGATGTCAGCAATTGCGACTTCATAGGTTTTGAAGGGCAAGTGTTGTTCTACCAGACAGTGAAAGAATTAGGTCGATCTGAGCAGTGGCCGCCGAGAACGAGAATTTTGAAAAATTAAGCGATTTTAGGTTACTTAGTGACAGCTGACGTTTAGACTCCTATAAATCTGGAATGTGAAGGAGTGCAATGTTGCGACTTCATAGGTTTTGTAGAGTAAGGATTGCTGTATCGGACCATGTCTTAGCCGTAACGATCCAATAAGATGCCGCCGAGATTCAGGCTCTTGAAAAAACAAGTGAAAAACCGCTTTTTGAAATTCAACAGCGCATAACTTCTCCAGAATTGCATGAATCATGTTGCGACTTCATAGGTTGGATTCTCCTCATCAAGAGCTTTCAGATGATATATAATATGTGGGGGTTTTGCGCCTCTCACAGCATATGCCCGGGGGTGGAGACTTTTCACCCCAAAGTCTCCACTGGCGGTCTCCGGCCAGTACATTAAATGGGCGAGGTGGAGACTTTGGGGTGAAAAGTCTCCACCCTGGGTTAGAGCCGCAAAAATCATTGAACCCCCCACATATTATATATGATCTGAAAGCTCTTGATGAGGAGAATCCAACCTATGAAGTCGCAACATGATTCATGCAATTCTGGAGAAGTTATGCGCTGTTGAATTTCAAAAAGCGGTTTTTCACTTGTTTTTTAAATAGCCTGAATCTCGGCGGTATCTTATTGGATCGTTACGGCTAAGACATGGTCCGATACAGCAATCCTTACTCTACAAAACCTATGAAGTCGCAACATTGCACTCCTTCACATTCCAGATTTATAGGAGTCTAAACGTCAGCTGTCACTAAGTAACCTAAAATCGCTTAATTTTTCAAAATTCTCGTTCTCGGCGGCCACTGCTCAGATCGACCTAATTCTTTCACTGTCTGGTAGAACAACACTTGCCCTTCAAAACCTATGAAGTCGCAATTGCTGACATCTTCAACCAGCAGATTTATAACAATGGAATCATCGCATGATTTTTCATTATTTTATCATTCGAAATTCTGGTTCTCGGCGGTTATTTCCTGGATCGACTTACTACATAGATATATGCTCCCAATACTTTCTTTTACCTTCCTTTTGCTTATTTTCCTTCTTTTGAGCTTCAACAAAAAATTTTTTTCAGACCCAAAAGTGAAGGTGGTCACCCCGTACCAAGCTCAAAAGTGAAGGTAGGCGGAGACTCGGCTCCGACTATCGCACCTCTGTGTATGAGCATGTGATAGGCCCGCCCACCTCATCATTTAAAAGCATTGAATGAAGCTCTGAGAGAGCAGTGTCATTCGACATGAGGATCTGTCTAGCCATAGCTGCGGTAACTTTGATTTACATTGATTGAGTAAGTGCTGTCAAAATTAATTTTAGGTAACTTTTCTACTGCCGGTGTTTGTCTCAGGTACGATTCCAGCAAAAAGCTCTTACTTCGTAGGATGCAAAGGAATACGTTACCGTCCTTTAGGGAACCTCCAATGTGCTGATGGAAAACTTGAGGAGGACGAGGTCAATAATTATATCCTGAAAGAAATCAGAAATGCAAGAGCACTGCTAAAGGCTGGGACTGTAGCTAATGGTCCCGGTGGAGAAAACTTACCAGAGGCATGGGATATGAAGGATATGGTCAGTTCATCGCAATTTCTTCATGACTTCTTATGCTTTCGAGGCAACGGGGGAAGATTGAATGCTTTCCTACTGAAACAACTTTTCACATTTACTTAGCAGCTCATAGTGTCCATATTTTCTTTCAAATGAAGCTTTTCCAGAAATGGAGTTGTGACCTAGAAAAGATAGCCATGGACGTAGTAGCGGATTGCAGCAACGTTTATTTTGACGACATCCCTAAAGATAAGAGAGCACATGGCAAAGCAGAGATCTACTACTGGGGGTATGGTTTTTACAGCTCATAGAGTTACGTATGTAACTTGCACTATAGTTCGAAAGCTGTTATAATAACAGCGTAATTGGAGATCCATATGCTAAGCTAGCATATTCTGAAAAATGCACTCTAAAGGAGAAGTTTCCCAAAAACCTCAACATTAAGACACCAGGTAGTTATACTGTAGTATAATGATTGCTGTAAACGCTCTCAAGTGCATTCTCAACGAACATTACTGAGCGCACAATGTTGGTGTGAATGCGGTTTTAGAAATAAGCGCTTTACTCAAATTTGCGAGTGAATGAATAGACTTCATTCCTTAGAATGTCATCTTAGCTCATGCAAATTGCTTATCAGGGGTAGAGGGAATACCTTAATTAGGCACCTCCTCCGCGGACTACTGGTCCTAACACGATACACTAGAGTAGGACGAAAGGACCAGCAGCCCGCGAAGGCGGTGCCTAATTGAGGCGTTCACTACCCGCTAATTAGTACAAACAAATTCCGTCAGACACTCATCCCCATGACCTACGAATACAGGAGCAAAAGACGTAGCTCTATGGTTGCAGTTTCAATCTCAATAGTCAACTCGTCATCTTTGCAGCCAGGGTGGCGGTTATTATAAGCTAGCCGAAATAATGCACGATTACCTCAAAACCATAGAGAACGAGAAACTCACTGATGTTAGCGACAATTGGATCAAATACAGTGGTGAGGATAATAATAATATGGAAAAATATGCAAATGTAAGTCCTACTTTTGTTCCGAAATGCAGGACTAGAAGAAGATTTTGCAAAGATGTGCTTTAGCTTGTGAGAGCGTCCACAACCGAGATAGGATGTGCGTTGGCGATATGCGAAGAGGTTTGGGTAAACGCATACTGTGTTACTAATCAACCGTGAGTTCCCTAACTATGCCATAAGGAGACATTTGTCATATATGTGTTGACACTGTGAGAGAGCGGTTGCAAAGACGGTTCTGGATCGTACAGCTCTTTCGGGTAATTCAGACGGCAGAGAAATTCCATCGCCTCCTTTCCTTTTCACTCTGGGATAGAATAGAAAAACTTTTATTTGGCAAAGGTCAATTTGGAACGTTGTAATCGAGTTCGGATTCGAGTACGTGTGACTTCGTCGGGCATATCTCACTTCAAGTAAATTAATAACCATCTTCAAACTGTTATCGCCCACTCTTCGAGACAATTAAGAAGTTACCGAAGACAGCAAACACTGAGTAACGATGAGGAACCTTGGTCATTATTATGAATCAACATAAAATGTTAGTGTTAAACTATAAGTTTGTTACATTCTCGTTACAAACTGAGTTTCATCTTGCCCGATGATCGGATTTTTGTCAGAGAAAACCATAGCTCAAAAAATAAGCAAAAGTATGCATTCTTCCCTGGAGACAGTAGCTAACAAATATAGCATTTTATGTTCACTATTACGAATCCTTTAAAACGCCTCAGGCCCAATTCATAAGTCTAAGTCTTATGTCGAATTCATAATTCATAAGTCTCTTCAAACAAATTATAAAGACAAAACTCACTTCTGAAGTCATTGAAGCTAAACCTGTAAACAGTTTTTATCAGTTCATTGTCAGAACGAGTCAGAAATTTTGATTGTCAAGTAGTTTCATTGCAAATTCTTCTGCACTTCCCTAAAGCGCTGATGGCCATGTTCTATAATTCTCAAGCATATCAGTTACCATTGCTCAAATTTTAAAATGTTGATAATCATGGTTTTTGAGGATTGCAATCTGTTGATGTTTCTCCCAAAAAAGTTTGATGAAAAATTTGCGTAGTCAAGCTGCATAAAATTAGCCGCTTTCGCAATAAGGTTATTCGTAGCCTATTTCCTCAACATTGAAGACGCACTTTGTCCGCTGTGACAAATCTTTCCCAATTTTTCCCTATTAGGGACATGTTTGTTGTTCTCAGCTCGAAACTCCAATTCTAGTAATGATTTAGCATCATTTTCCAAGCTTAATTGATGAAATATCATTTAGGCCACTTGCTGATGGTGATTGGATCAGCGGGCCAGGTGAGTACAACAAACGGTAAACTTCCTGCAGTTCTTGTAGTTCAGACGAGAAATAGCAGACGCGAAGGGAACGAAAAAAAAAGAAAGGAAATAGGACAAAATTTTAGTCGAGTTAGACTAAAATCAATCCGAGTTCAGAAAAATCTAAAATTATTATAGATTAGCGCTGAAAACTCGTGACTCTTCGTCAACGAGTAGAATAATTTCCAAGAGTTGGAATTTATACGGCGGCATTCAATGGACAAGTCGTTCGTAGGCCAAATTTGTGAGTTTGCACACTGCGCGCGGCAACTCATGAGTGTTTAAAAGTAATCCGTTAGTGAAACACTAGGAGAAACGCTGAAACGCATACTACATTTTTGCATCTATAAAGCTAGAGGAGAGAAGAAAAAAGAAGAAGTATCTGAATTAGCTAATGACCATAGAAGCGTAAATTTGAAGTTTTTGGGCAATACGCATTACTAAGTTGTTGCATAGTTCTGCCACAATTTTGCATTTTCGAGTTCAAAATATGATAACGTTTCAAAATCAACTCTTTTAAATCTATTCAACTTCGTGAATTGTCAAGCTGGCTATCAGATAACTATGTCTAAGCTTTACGAGAAACCTTATTGTAGAAGCAAGATTTAAAAAATTTGCAATACTGTTTTCAAATCTGTCTTTTTTCGACAATGTGGTGCTTCCTTATAGAGTGTATTTTTGTGAACATCGGTAGAAAGCGAAAATTTCGGAAATTCAAGACCCAAAAAGAATCAATGGAGTCTCTAAGGCCCAGGTAATCTTTGAACAAGTGAAGAAAAGTCGTTTTAGACCTCGCTTCAGCAGATATGTCCATTGCTGCATACTAGAAGTTGTATAGATGCCGCGGGCGGTAAAGAGTAACTGGTGGACGGGCGATGCTAGCTCTTGCTTTACTACAACAATATTTGGATCCTAGATTGCCTCTGCTCACAGAAGTTGTTGCACCATGAACACCTGAATGAAGCACTACTCTTCAACAGCAATTCTGCGGGCAAGACGGTTTTTACAGAAAAGTGAATTCGTGCATATGTCAGCTAACTGTACCCTTATGCGGATGCTAATGTATTAGGTTGTGTAATTAGTTCGTTCGCATTGTTTCAATTTTTTCTCGATATATTGCAAAGCATTTTGAAAAATGACAGCATGCTATCGGAAGCTTCGCGCCTGCTCTACCACTCCTATTACTCTATTTTCAATTCTAAAAAATTGAATGAAAGAAATTCGAATACAAACCGCAAAATCTGAGGAGGCAAAAATTCCATTTTCCACATCTTTTTTTTATTGTTTTCCCATCATTTACAGTTAAAATTTATTCAGATAGCTTGACAAAGGAAAAAACAACTGACTAATCACTTATGCACTTTCTGGAACTGCTTATGATTGCCCACTTCCTTTCACCAACCGTTAAACGCCATTTTTGCAAAAGTCGGCGTAGCAAGGTTTTGCCGCAGCGGCGTCGTCGTTTCGCACACTTAAGATGTGTGTCTCCCAAATCTAGTAAAGCAAGAGCTAGCATCGACTGTCCACCAATTATCCTTTACCGCCCGCGGCATCTGTACAAGTTTTAGTATGCAGCAATGGACATATCTGGAGGTCTAAAACGACTTTTCTGTACTTGTTCAAGAATTACCTGGGCCTTAGAGACTCCATTGATTCTTTTTGGATCTTGAATTTCCGAAATTTTCGCTTTCTACCGATGTTCACAAAAATACACTCTATAAGGAAGCACCACATTGTCAAAAAAGACAGATTTGAAAATAGCATTGCAAATTTTTAAAATCTTGCTTCTACAATAAGGTTCCTCGTGAAGCTTACACGTAGTTATCTGATAGCCAGCTTGACAATTCACAGAAGTTGAATAGATCCAAAAGAGTTCATTTTGAAACGTTATCATATTTTGAACTCGAAAATGCAAAATTGTGGCAGAACTATGCAACAACTTAGTAATGCGTATTGCCCAAAAACTTCAAATTCACGCTTCTATGGTCATTAGCTAATTCAGATACTTCTTCTTTTTTCTTCTCTCCTCTAGCTTTATAGATGCAAAAATGTAGTATGCGTTTCAGCGTTTCTCCTAGTGTTTCACTAACGGATTACTTTTAAACACTCATGAGTTGCCGCGCGCAGTGTGCAAACTCACAAATTTGGCCTACGAACGACTTGTCCATTGAATGCCGCCGTATAAATTCCAACTCTTGGAAATTATTCTACTCGTTGACGAAGAGTCACGAGTTTTCAGCGCTAATCTATAATAATTTTAGATTTTTCTGAACTCGGATTGATTTTAGTCTAACTCGACTAAAATTTTGTCCTATTTCCTTTCTTTTTTTTTCGTTCCCTTCGCGTCTGCTATTTCTCGTCTGAACTACAAGAACTGCAGGAAGTTTACCGTTTGTTGTACTCACCTGGCCCGCTGATCCAATCACCATCAGCAAGTGGCCTAAATGATATTTCATCAATTAAGCTTGGAAAATGATGCTAAATCATTACTAGAATTAGTGTTTCGAGCTAAAAACAGCAAACATGTCCCTAATAGGGAAAAATTGGGGAAGATCTGTCACAGCAGACAAAGTGCATCTTCAATGTTGAGGACAGGGCTCGGCACAGTTGGCTTGTAAAGCAAGCTGGATACAGTTTTTCGGACCAAAAGCGAGGGGGGTTTCGTTTTTGTGGCCGAAAAGACACAAAGTTTGCGACATTTTTTCCGGTCGACGTTTCGTTTTTTTTAACATTTTTTAGGATTCCGTTTAGGGTTGATGGAGGCTTCGTAAAATTCAGGGAAAGTCAAAGGAGACTTCGTTTTTTGCATTTTCCAAAAGCCGCCTCGTGCCAAGCCATGTCGCCGCAGGGATGTCAGTGCATAGGGCCATAATCAAAAACTAGTTTTCTGTCTTTGAAAAAGCAAGATAGATGATATTATCATTTCACTTCAATGTGGCAAGCGAAACTAATGAAGGTATGGATACTAATTGCTGCTAAATTTGTCTACAAATTTGTAGCAGTCTGAGTACATGACATGGCAAGTGTAAAGTGGGAATAGAAAAAGACTTATTCAGTAATCAAGGCAGAAGGAAGTGCAACGATATCAACACCAAAGACTTGTGATTTTAGCAAGGAAGAGTCGAAAAATACTTGAACCCTAAAGTTTATTCGAAAGGATGCTACGTCATCCTGGGTCTTGAGTGCAGGCTTCCAGATCACATTTCATCTATAATCGAATTTAGAGAAATTTATACACTAGTTTCGCAATAGAAGAGGTTTCACTTATGCTTAAAACTAGAAAACTACAAACAAGCCTATGTCATCTCGATTGTGTCTTGAAACCTGATGAGATGATTCCAATAGGTTGACAGCATTGACCAGATAGTGTTAGGGCTCTGAAATTCCGCTTACAGTCACTCTGCTCGTTCTTGTATTTATAAAACTACTTTTATTGGAAAGAGCATTATTGTATTAGGTTGAAGCGAAAGTTCTGTCGTTTCATTTTCAAAAATTTGTAACTTGCGAGATTTCAACGGATTTGCTTGCTTGTAATTTTATTACTAGGTTGGCTCGAAAGTTCTGGGACATTTTCGAACTAGATCTGATATTTCTCGAAACTTAGCGCATATACATCAGATAGAGGTACCATTCGATAGAGCAAAGTAAGCGCTACAAGATATGCAAAAGTTTGCACCAGCTTCGACCCACCGTAAGTTTGCGCCCAAAAACTGAGTCGTACTGAAATTCAAAAAATCGCGAAAATCCATATCTTTGTTCAAACAAATCCTAGGGATCTCCATTGCTCACAAAAATTGCACACCACATCAGACACTCATATACACTGTTCCGGTATTTCTTTCTCATCTGGAAATCGAGAAAACGAAAATTTTCATGCTTATATAAAAGCGAAGCTGTGCTGTTTCCACCCATGTAATTGAATAGTATAAGCCCTTAGAAGTATAACCGTAAATTTTCAGCTTTCTATAGGCCCTAGTTCCCGAAAATTATCGAATTAAGCTCCCCTCACTCGGACGTTCCATGCTAAAATCAATATTTTTCGACAACTAGGGCTTACGGAAAGCTGAAAATTTACGGTTATACTTCTAAGGGCTTATACTATTCAATTACATGGGTGGAAACAGCACAGCTTCGCTTTTATATAAGCATAAAAATTTTCGTTTTCTCGATTTCCAGATGAGGAAGAAATATCGGAACGGTGCATATGAGTGTCTGATGTGGTGTGCAATTTTTTGAACAAGATGGAGATCCGTAGCATTTGTTTGAAAAAAAAATAATTTTTCGCGATTTTTTGAATTTCAGTCGACTCAGATTTTGGGCGCAAACTTACGGTGGGTCGAGGCTGGTGCGAACTTTTGCATACCACCTTGTAGAGCTTGCTTTGCTCTATCGAATGATACCTCTATCTGATGTATACGCGTTAGGTTTCGAGAAATAGCAGATTTAGATCGAAAATGTCCCAGAACTTTCGAGCCAACCTAATAGAAAGATTAGGTCTTCCGCTTTCAATCGCGGTTTTGTGGAGCTTCTGTTTCACACTGAGTGCAGAGATAAAAATGGAAAACTAAGACCATGTAAACTTTGACCATTTTAAGTTAGGTCACCAAAAATCTGGAATGCTGCAGAAAAATCTGAAATCGTCAGTACATATGTTTTTTGACCTACTCTTTGCAATTGTGAAGTTTGTGCTGTTTGGACGCCTCTGTGAGAAGTTATGATTTTCGCAAAATTCGACAAATTAATTAAATTTGGCGTTTTCCATAGTAAAAGTTATGAAGAAGTTATGAATATCGAGTTTGCTATGGAAAACGCCAAAATTAACTAATTTGTCAATTTTTGCGAAAATCATAACTTCTCACAGAGGCGTCCAAACAGCACAAACTTCACAATTGCAAAGAGTAGGCCAAAAAACATATGTACTGACGATTTCAGATTTTTCTGCAGCATTCCAGATTTTTGGTGACCTAACTTAAAATGGTCAAAGTTTACATGGTTTTAG